AAGAGTGTGGACTGTTGAAGGTGCTGCCATCTGATGGCTTCAAAAGTTATTGAAGATTAGGGATGAAAGAGGAAGGGGGGGAGTCGGACGATTGGTGGATGGGAGGAAGGGATGTAGTGTGGGTGAGGAGGGGCGACGAGGGATGGGCTGGGTGGAGAATACAAAAATAGGGAGGTTTTGGAATTTGAAGGAACAAGGCAGTGCCAGCTATGGTAATGCGGAACCTGTTGATGTTCAGTCTGAAGGCAAAGCGCAGGTTCGCATATTTTCAGAAAAACAATGAAGACGGAATGAAGACCAAGAGTGAGTCATATTATATGCCAAATGGGCCTATGGTGGACGTGGTCACATGGGCAACAGACGGAGCTCCTATGGAGATGTATAAATATCAAGGTGCAACCCCCAATCATTGTACCGTGTTTCCACCATTCGAAAAAGACTTATCCAGACGAAGTTTTACCCCATTCAGCAAAACCCCGAACCCTAGCCCTGAGGAAGCATCTGATTGTGCGTCTTACCTTGGGCCTGTCTTCATCGTCCGTCTTCTCGCGCTTCTTCACAGCCTTGTCAGCGCCCTAGGGGAGGGGGGGGAGAACAAGAGTGAAGTCATGAGGGAGGGAGGGAGGGAGGGAGGGAGGAAGGGAGAAGGGAGAATGGTATGAATGAGCGAGAATTAGCGTGGGAAGAACGGAGCTAATGGAGCGAGGCAGCAAACGACGTGAGGGGGAACAGCGCGAGGAAGCGAGCGAGACAGTGAGCCAGGGGAGGATATGGGGGGGAGGGGAGGGAGAGTGAGGGAGGAAGCGAGGGAAGTAGGAACGAGGACGTGCGGCACACGAGTTTCCGTTCTCGTCGATGCCCTTCTTCTTATGCCCATGCGCGCCATCTCACGGCCGAAACGAGCGAGGGAGAAGCGAGCGAACGAGGAAGGGTCTTTCTTACGAGCTTAACGAAGACGGCGTCGCTCTCGTCGACGTCCTTCTTCTTGTGCACCGCCATGGCCGCCATCTCCGCGTCCACCTCCACCTTGCGCGCCTCCGCCGTGCGGCTCGCCGCCAGCGCCTTGCGCTTCTCCTCGCGCACCTTCTCGTACTCCTCCAGGGTCATCTCCTGGTGGGCGGAGCGGGGTATAGGGTGGAGGGGAAGGAGGTCTCGTATTAGCCGAGAATAAGTTCTGCGGGGAAGAGTGGTTCTGAGAAAGTACGCGGTTGATTGGGCTGTGTACGGGGTGGATGGAGAATGTAATTCGGAAGCGTTCAGAGCGGTGGAGGGGTGAAGCAGCGCACGTGCCTCGGAACTGAAAGACGCCGCGTGGGCGGAGACAAAATTTCGAAAGCACCGAGTCTTTAGGGAAATGATTATTGGTTACGGAGCAGAGGTCAAACGCACCAAGCCTTCAGCGGAAATTCGTATAAAAAACGTCCGAGAATAATTCACGACTCACCTTGTCCTCCTCCTCTGCAGGGGCAGCCTCAGCGGCAGTCTCCCCCGCAGCGGCATCGCCCTCAGCAGCAGCAGCCTCTCCCTCCGCTGTTCCGTTGGCCTGCTTGGCCTCCCCTTCCTCGCCCGCCTCCTCCTGCTCGCTGCAAGGCAAACACCACACACAGGGAACCAGCGGGTGTAATGCAGGGGGCAGACGAAAGGAACTGTCAACGACACATATAGAGGATAGGGTTTAACGGGTGCAAAGCGTTCAATTCTCCGCAGCATTCGCCGCATCTGGCGGTCTGGTGTCAAACCGAACAAATCAATCACGACCGAGCAGGAAAAACACAGGGAACAGTAGCGTCAGCGTCAATTTGACCTCACAGAAGAGCTAAAGCCCTTCTCAACGTATATTTAAGCTCTTAACGAGCGACATCACGCGCCACTGCATGTTATTGTATAACTTTAACGAGACTGACAGCTTGAAAAGAGCAACTTCCAGCGCCACTCAATGTTTGTCGAGACGGCACCCATGAAGGTGTCAACGGAAACAGAGGTGGCAATTAGGGTAGTCTATTATAGAAGCTGGAACATGTAGTAGCATCAGGCAAAAGATTTGCTCAGTAAAGAGCAAGCGCTCTTTTCAATGTATATTTAAGCTCTTGAAGAGCAACATCATATGCTACTGTAAAAAAACTCACAGGTGGTAATGTGAGAAACAACATATGGAACAGGAAGAAACAGAGACACAGAAAACAATCTAAATATTTCTTAACATCTTCTAAAAAATGGAAGAAAAAAAAATCCAACAACAAGCTACTCCGACGGACTTACCCCGTTTGCGGCACCTCGTCGGCTCGACCCCAGTTGCCTCGTCCGGCACCGTCGCGCTTCATCTCGTGGCTGCAGACCGAACAAAATGCAAGGAGAGAGAAGGAAGAGAAACCGACAAACGTCACATGATTAGATCGTCAACGATTAAGAAATCCACATTACCCTGGTGTTCGAACCTCGCTCCGAAGCTAGCCTATTCTTCACTTCTAAGCATCGTCATACCATAAGGACACTCACCCACGGCCAGTGCCGCTGTGCCTGTCGAATTCCCGACGAGGCGCCCTCCGCTCCCCGTCGCCTCCTCGGGAACCACCGCCGGAACGACCGCGACCGCCATAGCCACCACCGCCGCCGCCGCCGCCTCCACCACCGCTGCGGATTCCACCAGCGCCGCCGGACACCTCGCCGTCCTCTCCGCGCATCTGCCGGTTCCTGTACGGCTGCCCGCCATCCTGCCCCCCCTCCGCGGGGAACGATCCCCCCCGTCCGCCTCCGCGACCGCCTCCCCCACGTCCTCCGCCTCCTCTTCCTGCGCCGGCTCCACGACCGGCGGCTGGCGCAGCAGGTGTGGCCTTCACGGCGGCTGCTGGCTTAGTGGCAGGCTTGGAATCTGGATGGAAAAAATCGAGGAGACCGCAGAAAAAGAATATCCTCAAGATTGTCAGACTGGTCAAATGCACCCCTGTAGTCGCAAGAATATGGCGAAAAGGGGGCTGCAACAGTGACTACATTGGTAGATACCTTTCTTAGGAGCTGCTGCTGCTTTCTTGGCTTGTTCCTCCTCAGCGCGAGCCAAGAAGACTCCCGGATCCTCTACATCGTCTCCCCCCAAGAGGGAGAAGAAGTTTGCTGACGCCATTTTTTATGCAAAGATAAGCTAAGTTGTAGCTGTTGAATCAGCTTGTGAGAAAACTAAAAAAATCCTCCGATCATGAGCACTACAACCACGAATTGTGTAACAGTCGAATGTACGCTATACCTATTCTAGGATAATATAATGGTTTAACCTAGAAGATTTCTACTGAGCTCCCTAAGCCTAGAAAAGGACGCAGATGACCAAGGACTCCAAAAAGAAATCCAGAAAAGAGGTAAATGGACATGATACTGTGAAAATTTGTTTCCATCTCATGGGATGGGCTGGGAGGGGAGGAAAGGGGGAAAGGGGGGAAAGACGGACAGGGGGAAGGAAGGGATGCGCTGGACATTTGCAACCCAGCAAACCCGGATAGGGGAGGGGGTGCGCCAGGGGGTGTTCTGCGCCGATTACGGTGTTTGCGCGGACTGGCGCTGATGGGCTGACGCTGGCGAAAATCTGTGTCATCCACATCCAATTGCAAGGCCACATTGGACCTGGTGAGGCCAGTGGGCTGATAATGACGCACTCCTCAATCATGGGAGAGCCACGTCAACAAATGGATGAGATTTCTGGGTTGCATGAGGTGGCCAAGAATTAGTTGCTGCTACACTGATGAAATTGTTATTCGTAAACAGCTGAAGATGATATGCAATATGACGTAATTGAATTTGACAGGCCCCGATTTTAGATCTCTGAGAGAAAGTATGGATATGAGAGCGTGCCCTGTACAAGCCTGCGTTACAAGGCCATCCATACAGGTTGCATCACTCATGCTTAGTCCTTCCCTACCACATTTATGCAATCCCCGTTAGTGCCGCCGTGATTACATGTCATTCACGTAGTGTACAGCATCCCTTCGACTGCCCAACTCAAGGTCGGAAAAAATAAAACTCCACCCACCGACAGTTCTCGAATGTTCTTTCTAGCAGCGGCCCAATAAAATGTTGCAATTTCCGGCCCAATAAATGTTGCAATAATCTAGGTCAGTCCATCCAGAGAGTGGAGGGGTAATTCTGACCAAACTCCCAAGGCCCGAAACAAAACTCAAGGCTTCCATATCCATCCCTTGTCCGCTCCCTCCAGCTCCCACAATCTTGAAATCTCCCTTGACCTTCCCGCTTTACACCCTTTTCGCGGCGATGTGCTGCTTGGTTGACTTCATTCTCTTGTGTGCAGCTTCTGCTGTTCTTTCAGTATGATTTCGAATTCCCAGGTACAGCATAGCTGATTGTTATGGATGGTCACGATGGAACGCCTGGGCTCTCGTCCCACTTTACTTACGTCTGGCCGGGAATCGACCTTGAATATGTCGGTCGCTGTCATCCCTCTAGGTCGAACAGCCAGTCTCGTTTTAACCTTAATTATTCTGCTATGCTGGGGCGACGTTCAGCTCTCACCCGCGTTTCTCGGCAGCAATTTCGACTCAAATCACTCGTCGTTCTCACAGCAGCAGAAGCAGCAGCAGCGCGGCCGAGCAGAGGCGTGCGTCGAGCAAGGCAGGTCGACTTGCCCGAGTAGTTCCTCAGCCGGGAGCGCAGCGGGGATCGCGGAAGGATCACCAGGAGTTCGCGAAAGCAGCACGTACCACGAACATTCCCGATCGCCGCTGGTGCTTCCGCTACAGGGGTTAACGACCTCGTTAAATCTCCTGCAAGTTCTACTCTTCGGATTCGAGAGCTGCTCAAGCGCTGGTTTGCGCGATTGCGGATCGCATCAAGGTACCCGTGGTTTTTTCCCGTCGACCCTAATTCGTCCTTCAATTCCAGAAGTGGGAAACCGAGAAACGGGCGAGCCACGACTGGGAGTGGCGCAGCAGCAGTCGACAGGCCCGGAGCAGAGAAGCCTGAGCGATCAGGCGAGGAGTCAGGCCGACGCTGGTAAGGATATGTCGCACCCGCAGGGAATTTCTGAGGAGACAGTACTTTCGGTTGTGGTCCAAGCGACGGGATCAGGGAAGGTGCCGGAGAATTCGTTAGAAGTCGCGGGCTCGGCTTCTTCTGAGGGTTTGGGCCGAATTGGCGGTGCTGCGCCGGTAGATGCGGGCGCAACAGCGGCAGGCGGTGCGACACAAGCGGGGTCACCAACAGAAGCTGGCGCGCGCGGGACTGGGCGCCAGGAGGCGGCACTTCCGGCAAGCGGCGCAGGGGAGCCGGGGAAGGTTGGGGGAACCGTGGGGGAAGGAAGAGAGGAGTGGCCTGTAATGGGAGCAGCGGCACCGGTAGATGCAGCAGTAGCAGCAGCGGCAGCAGAAACAGCAGCGGCAGCAGAAACAGCAGCGGCGGAAACAGCAGCAGCAGGGGCAGCAGCCGCAGTGGAAGCAGCAGAAGGAGCCGCCGCTGCAACGAAAGCCAGTCAAGCCGGGTCGTTCTTAGACGATGATGACGTGGACTCCGCGCGGCCAGTGCGCGTTATCCCCCCCGGGCTAGACGCGTACAAGCGGGAGTATTTCAACAAGCAGAGGGCGGCGGAAGGAAACGAACCCCCCGCGGGGGTGATCCCCTCGGGAGTGCCCATCCCCCCGTCGGGAGTAGCGTACGCTGGTGCAGTGCAAGGCGCAGCAGGCGGGGCAGCTGGCGGAGCTTCCGCCAGTGTACCCGCGGATGCGGTTGCCCCCGCGGGGGGCGCGCTATCTGCGCCTGGCGCTGGTATTCCGCCAATGCGAGGCGGGCAGATAGTAGGTGGTGCGATGGGAGGGGCGCAGATGGGGGAAGTTGCTGATATGGGGGGGATTGGGGGAGGGATGGGGGGCATTGGCGGAGGGATGGGGGGCATCGGCGGAGGGATGGGGGGGATTGGCGGAGGGATGGGGGGGATGGGCGGGGGGATGCGAGGTGGAATGGGTGGTCAACCACCGGAATGGCCTCGGAGGAGACAGACTGGCACGGATAAGAGTCGATACAACTATGCCTCCGCGAATCACGGTGCCAAGATTGTTGACTGTAGCAGCGAGGCAAAACGACCCCAGGCCGTTTTAGATGAAGATAAGGACAAGTATTTACGCATCCCGTGCAGTGTAGCAAATAAATTCCTCGTTATAGAGCTCTCCGAGTTCCTTGCGCGGATAGAAACGATCGTACTCGCGAATTACGAGTTCTACGCGTCTTCCACTAAAGACTTTGAAGTCTGGGCCAGCAGAAATTACCCCTCGGACCGCTGGCACTTTCTGGGAAACTTCTCAGCGCAGAGCGTGCGGACGCCCCAGGCGTTCGAGGTGACAGGCAGCGGAGATCTAGGGGATTCAGTGCGGTACGTAATGGTGCGGCAGCTGTCGCACCACGGGGCAGAGTTCTTCTGCACGCTGAGTGTGGTGCGAGTGCATGGGGTGAACGAGATGGATGGGCTGAGGGAGGAGATGGAGGCGATGACAAGGATGATGGGGGCGGGTAGGCAGGCCGTAGCGGCTGCTGCTCCGGGCAGGCAGGGTGTTGCTGCTGCTGCTGCAGCAACTCTGCCGGTGATTCCTCAGGCGGTTATCGCTCCAAGGGTTACCACTCCTCAAGTGGTTACCACTCCTGAGGCGGTTATCGCTCAAGTAATTACCACTTCTCAAGTGGTTACCACTCCGCAAGTGTTTACCGGTGCTGTTCTCGAGCCTGGGGCGCTGCAGGCTCCTGAGCTCGTGGGATCGGTGGTGTCGGTGGGTTCAGATGGTTCAATGGGTTCAGAGGGTTCCAGACCGGTGCCAGCCCAGGCAGAGGGCACTGATTCACCGTCCACTGTGCCTGTGCCACCATCTGAGCAATCGCCGCCACTCTCTGTGCCCGTTGCTGCTGATGCTGCTGATGCTGCTGCTGCAGAAGCAGCAAGCGCTGCTGCCACCACAGTCACTGCCTCTTCTTGTGAATCTGCCCATCCTGTCCAGCCATCTGATCCTCTTCCTGCCTCTCCCTTTCCGCCTCCGCCTCCTGCTGCTGCTGCTGCTGTAACCAGAGATGCTGCAGCTTCTACTGCTGCTGCTGCATCTCCTGCTGCTGCTCCCAATTCCATTGAGTCAGCAGCTGCTCCAAGCAACACAGGGGCGAGTGCAGAGGCGGGGGGCACGGGGAGCGGCGTGGAAGGCAATGGGAGTTCCGCAGATGCTTCTGGCGCCATCCCACAACCACCAGGTCCTGGCTCCGTCGCACACTCACCTGTTCCTGAAGGTCCCTCTGGGAAGGCCGAGGAGCAGTCTGGCGGAAGGGGAGAGGTGGGTCAAGGGGGGGGAGAACAGCAAAGGGAAGAGGCAGGGGAGGTGTATGGAAGGGGGGAAGAGCAGCAACGGGGCGAGGAGCAGGGTGTGTTGAAGCAGAGCGGTGGTGAGAGGGAGGGTCGATGGGACGGAGGGGAAGGGAGCATGGGTAGCAGGGAAGGTAGCAGTGAAACGGTGCCTGAGGACGGAGTTGATTCAGTTGGGAACATTGGTGGCAGGATCAACACCCGTGGTAGAGGCAACATTACGAGCGGTGGTAGCAGCAGCAGCACCAGCGGTAAGAGCAACATCACGAGTGCAGTGGAAGCGGAGGGGAGGGAAGAGGAGAAGTTTCCAGTAAGTGCAGGAGTGACAGCAACGGATGGCGATGGGAGTGGTGAGTGGAAGTCTGGCTTTGCTGCAGCAGGTGAAGCGGCTGGGCAGGAGGAGAGGACGGACGGAAGGCATGGGGCGGGCAGGTTGGGAGAGGGAGAGTGTGAGAAGCAAGCTGAAGGGGGAGGTGGTACGGGATGCGCGTCAGTGGATGGGCCATCAGTGCACAGGGGAGCAGCAGCAGCAGGTGCAGGTGTTGCTGCCAGGTCGTGTAGTGTTGGGGTAGGGGTCGGGGTCAGGGCCACTCGGATCGGAGGGGCATCTGGTTCCGGTGAGCAACCGGCCGGCGTTGACACGCGCGCTGACGCCAGCGCTGGTGCAAGCGCTGAGGCGAGCTGTGAAGAAAGCGGCGTGGGCGGAGCAGAAAGGTCTGCGGAACGTGGCGTGGGAGGAGATGCAGGAGAGGATATGAAAGCGGCTTGTGAAGGCGGGGTTTCTGAGCAAGTGAGCAGAGGAAGTGCTGGGAAGCTTCCTTCCTCCGAGGAGGAATCGTCGATGGCAGGAGGGGGGTGGGGAGCGAAAGGAGGGAGTTTGGTGGAAGGAGGAAGGGAGGGGAACGGGACGGAGGAGGAGCGGAGTGCTAGTGGTGGTGAAGGGAGTGAGGCAGACACACAAGTATGGGCGAGGCTAGACACGTGGCAGGGGAGAAGCAGGAGAATGGGGGGGAAGTTGGGCGGTTAGTGAGGAAGGAAGCGGAGGAGAGTGTGGAGAGTCGGGTGGGGAGAGGCGAGTCGGATACAGCTGTTGGGGATAGCAGAGGTTCGTCTTTGACTGGTTCAGCTAAGGCAGAGGAGAAGGCAGAAGCGGATGCAGATGCCAAGGCAGAGGCAGAGGTAGCGACAGAGGCTAAGGCGGAGGCAGGCTCAGAGGGAGAGGATACGGTGGCAGCAGGGGCAGAGGGAGAGACCAATATAGCGTCTGGTGGTGGCAACTCACTGGGTGCTTCTAGAGGGCTGCAAGGTCAGCCTGCCTCTGGAGTGGTAAAAGGTCAAGTGGGCGATGGTTGTGCTGCAAGGAGTGAGGCGGGTGCTGCTGCGTCCGCCCCACCCCCTCCCACTGATCCCTCCACGGAATCCGCTTGCGCACCCTCACATCAGAGCTCTGCCGTAGGAACTGAGAAGGAGGGTTCAGATGAAAAAGGAAATTCAGGTGAAAAAAGAAATCCAGTTGAAAAGGGAGATATAGAAATGGAGGCAGGAGAAGCCAGTATGGATGGGGAGAGTGAAGGGGAGGAAGGGCGAGTGAACAGCAATGTGGTGGAGGCTGGAGGGGGCAGCCAAATGGGAGCTGCTCCTTCAGGTGGTTTGGCAGGTGGTTTATCAGACAAGGAAGGCAGCTTTCAGGTGAAAACAGCAGGGGCTGGCGTGGAGCAGGTGTCACTGTCAGCAGCAGCAGATGGCCGGCAAATAGGTACTTCTGATTCGGGTGGCAATAAAATCGAAGAAACTTGGGAAGCGAAATCTACGGCAGGCGACGGGAGTCGCACAGAAGATAGCAGGGCTGTAGACAACAGGAACACAGTAGCGAATGGTGGAACGCCCACTAACGAGGATGGTCTTTCTTCGCAACCAAACACCACAGCTGAGGTGCCCGGGATTGGCAGTAAGCCAGATGTGGGGGGCAGCAGCAGCAGCAGCAGCAGCAGTAGGGGAGGAGGCAATGCAAGTAGCACAGCAGCGGGCAATAAAGAAACAGGTACCAGCGCTATGGGCGCCAGTGGGACGGCCACTGAAGCGACAGCCAGCAATGGAGTAGGCAATAACGGAGCCCTCATTAGTGGAGCTCAGGTGGTCACCAGTGCCAGCACATTCAGCATCAGCAGCAGCGGCAGCAGCTTTGCCGGCGCAGCGAGCAACCTGTACGGGCTCAAGTCGCTGATGCACATGGTGAGGCAGTGGGAGGACAAGCAGGCCGTGCTGGAGCAGTATGTGGAGGACATGGCTGCCTCCTATGCCGCTAATCTTGCGTCTACGGATGATGAGCTGCTGTCGCTGCGCACGCGATTGAGGAATGCAACGGTTACCATTGCAGGGTTGCAAGTGCAGATGCAGAATGCGGTGAGTGGATTGTTGTGGTGTGTTGTGAGGGGTGTATGTCATTGTGTGTGAGGAATGTATGTGATCGTGTGTGGGGTTTATGTGCGTGATTGTGAGGGGTTTGTTTGCTGAGTGTGAAGGATGGATGTACTTGAGTGTGAGGGATGCATGTGCTTGTATACGAGGGATGTGTGTGCTTGTATGCAAGGGATGTACGCTTGTATGCTTGTTCTTGGTGTTACAGAGTTTTGGTTACAAGTTTTAATGATGGAATGTGCATGGAAATGGACTCGAAGTGTTGGTTCCTGGCATGATGTGTGCAGGAGCAGCGCCATGGAAAGGAGCTGGAGGAAATGCGAAAGGATGTATCGGATCAAATGGAGAGCCTTCTGCAAAGCATCAATAATGCCAGGTGAGTTGATGCCCTATCTATTTTGTTACGTGTTGCATTTTTCTCGTTGTTGCATTCTAAGTATATTTTGTTTGGTTTTGCATGGGGATTGGTTGGTCCCTTTGTTGCAGAGGGGTCTCTTTAGAACTATCAAGAAGATTAGAAGATATGCTATGGCTGGCTGTATTAGTCGCTACGACAGCAGGCGTATTAGGCTTTGTCCTAGGAGTTTCTATCACACGGCTCTGGAGTAGTAGGATATACTAGTTTAGTGTTCAGGTTAAGGTAGTAGTAGGCATCTAGTTAGGCCAGGAGTAGATGCTTCCTTCTGAAATGGGATATTTTTCCATATTATGTCAGAGTTACGAGTGCAATTGAGCGAGCGAGCGAGAATTGCACTATCGAAGCAAAACAATACAATGAGTGAAGGCATGTGCGAAGAATATATAGCGAACTAGAGGGATAACGGTAACGCGAGGAATTGGGGTGCGCTACGGGCCTAGCGCCGAGGTTGGGATATGTCGAGGCGGAGGTCTGGAGCGCGGGTTACCAACCGAACGGTGAGGTTGGGTCGCGTCGTGAACAGTGGCGGGAGTCGTAGTCGAGGCGAGTGTCGCGAGCGGGTAACGTTTCACTGTTTGGGTGCCGATGGCGGGAATGGTCTTGTACGCGGTAAGCAGGGGCTGGAGTAGTAGGATTTACTAGTTTAGTGTCAGGCCAAGAGTAGATGCTTCCTTCTGAAATGGGATATTTTTCCATTTCATGTCAGCCTTTTGGAGTGTCAGCTTTGGGAAAAGTTTCGCGCCAAATCAGGCGGGCACGTGTCGACGCTGCGACACTCGCCCCGTCAAACCCGCGGAGCCCTGTCAGGTGCAGGCCGGTACCGTAACACGTGGGTTTCCAGTCCACTCTGCCCCAACAAGCCATTTCGGTTCGGGTCGGTCCTCCCCTCCTGCCTCCTGCCACACGGGCCCAGCAGGGCAGGCTTTTGTATGAACAACTCACGGTTCACCATTTTTGCAATACAGGTTTCGCCGATCGGAACAATCGCAGGGTTGAGATTGGCCGGGTTACAATCGACGGTACTTTGCGGGCAGCTCTGAAATGGCGACACTTCGACGACACCGGTGCGATTTCTGTGTCCCATGTATGGCTGGCAGAACTCCTTCCGCGTATCCGCGCTAGTGCCCCATATAAATGAAATGGGGTGTCGGATAGAAACCGTTTGACCAGTGCACTTTTCGAAATGCCGAGTCTGCCTGGCAAATGTAGACAATGCTGCGGTTCAGTGCGTTAGGACGTGGTAGATTTGCTCCGTCACGTCTGGAACCTCCCTCTCCATATACACTACCTTCACCAGCACGGCACACTGCACGCCATTCCTACAGCAGCAACCAGCCACTCCCCAATAGATAGGTGTTGGTCAGGGCATCTATGCGGTCCGCGTCTTGGTCTACGTTATTACTCGAAGGTAGCAGTAATATAGTCGTATAGGTTATCAACAGTGGGTGGTTACATTTTATCGTAAACATTCTCAGAGCAAATATTTATCCCTTCACATTTGACCGTATTTATTTCAGTAAGCACGCCACGCGTAAACAATGGGAGCGTGCCTCTCCACATGTCTCGGCTCTGCATCGGTCGAAAAAGATAAAGGAAATGTCGACGAAAGCAAGGTTCAGAAGCATCCTGTCACTGGCGGCAGTCGAACCGGCGACGATAACTGCGACGGAGCGAAGATACAAAACGCTAAGTACCCCAAAGATGATAAGAGCATTCCAATAGGCCTCCGGACCGACTTCGGTTATAAACGCGACTTCGAGAAGCATTATAAGACCGGGAAGGAGCTGGGACACGGGCAGTTCGGGACAACTTATGAGTCGATACAACTAGCGACGGATAATCGCGTGGCCGTCAAGGCAATTCAAAAGAATTCGGTGAGCATCTTAGGAACGTAATAATGAAGAGTGTTTGAGAAGGGTACGTACAATCAGGTCAATGCCTGCTGTGCGAAGGTAACGACGATGCGTTTTCTCCTGCTCGTTACGGCGACCTGACCAAAGCATACATGGCCTAATAAGCAGTCCGTTATGCAGTGACTAGTTTTGTATCACATTTCAGTCCTACTACCTTCAGTTTTGGGTTGTGGACGCTTCTGGCTCCAATTAAAGTTTTGCTTCTGCATCTTTTCTTTTTCGTTCTGCGGATTGTCTGACCCACCATCGCGGTGCTGGAAATAATGCCCGTGTACTATTGTTTCTGTCCGTGAACTGTTGCTTCTGTCCCTATACTCTCGCTTCTGCCCGTGTACCCTCGCGCGGCGCGCTGCAGATGAAGCAGCCAATAGCGGTGGAGGACGTGGAGCGGGAGGTGAAGATCCTGCAGCTGCTGTCGGGCCATCCCAACGTGGTTCAGTTTATCGACGTGTTCGAGGACACGGAACTCGTGTACATTGCCATGGAGTGAGTGCGCTATAGCGGGTACTCAGTGTACACTTGAATAGCTAAGGGTGGCAATCAAGGAGTTGGTTTTTGACCGTCCCCATGTGGTTCAGTTTTCTTCTGTCTGTGAATGAACGGGGCGCGTATACCAATCTGTCCTCACGCATCACTTGTCATGCTGTCATGCTGTCATGCTGTCATGCTGTCGTTCTGTCCTTCTGTCATCTCGTCATGTTCTTGTTTTTTCCTTTTGTCCGTCCACCCCACGCAGGTTGTGTGAAGGAGGAGAGCTGCTTGACAGGATTCTGGGCAAGTGAGTGAGGGTGATTGTCCGTGAGGGTGGTGGTGAGTGAAGGAGGGTGGGGGCGAGTGTGAGGGTGAGGGCGCGTGAGTGAGGGGGAGAGCGAGTGATTGAGGGGGAGGAGTGGGGGGCGAGTGGGCGAGGACCGGGGAGCGTGAGTGAGGATGATGGTTGGTGAGGGGAGAGTGCAAATGCCATCCAAGGAAACCCGTCTGTCCGTCTGTTGTAAACAAATGTCTGTTGTAAACAAATGCGTGCACATCAAATGCGTGCACATCAAATGCGTCCGTCCGTCTGCCTGCCTGCCTACCTGCCTGTCGGCTTGCTCGTCCGACCACCCACCATGACAGGAAGGACAACCGGCACTCGGAGAAGGACGCGGCTAGCGTGGTGAGGCAGATGCTCAACGTGACACTAATGACAGGAGCCCATCGTCCTCCCTGCCTTCTTTGCCCGTCCGTCCATCTTCCTGCCTCTCTGCCTGCCCTCCCACCATGGCAGGAAGGACAACCGGTACTCGGAGAAGGACGCGGCTAGCGTGGTGCGGCAGATGCTCAATGTGACACTAATGACAGGAGTGCATGTACCATCTTCCTGCCTCTCTGCCTGTCCTCTCACCATGGCAGGAAGGACAACCGGTATTCGGAGAAGGACGCGGCTAGCGTGGTGAGGCAGATGCTCAACGTGGTGGCCCGCTGCCACCTCAACGGCGTCGTGCACCGCGACCTCAAGCCCGAGGTGCGATGGGCGATAGGTTTCTATCCCGATGTGAGATCTATCTATCTCTAGCCAGGGGTTAGACAGGTAGGTGTGAAGGCAGGGGTGAGGTAGCTGTCAAGCCAAGGGTGGCCCGCTGCCACCTCAACGGCGTCGTGCACCGCGACCTCAAGCCCGAGGTGAGATAGTCTATGGGTGGCAAGCTCGAGGTAGGTTGACCTCAAGCCTGAGGTGCGTTGGCTTGAAGCTCGGGGGGAGACGGTTGAGAGGTATCAAACCGCAGGTGCGAAAGCCTATGGGTGGCAAGCCAGGAGTGAGAAAGGTCTCCACTCCAGGCAGATGTGAGATAGGTGTCGATCTAGGGTTGATCTCCTCTGCATCACTCCCACCTTCAGTCGTCCCTTCGCACCCCTCTCCACCCATCTGTGTTGCGCAGAATTTTCTGTTCGCCAACAAGACGGAGGAATCCCCTCTCAAGGCCACCGACTTTGGCCTCTCGGACTTCAGAAAGCCAGGTGAGCCTATTTTTGAGTCGACTCAAAAAAATCGACTTTGGCCTCTCGGACTTCAGAAAGCCAGGTGAGTGGTGCACCGGGGGCGGGGGAGGGGTGGGGGAGGTGCGAGGACGGGGGAGGTGCGAGGACGGGGGAGGTGCGAGGACGGGGGAGGTGCGAGGACGGGGGAGGTGCGAGGACGGGGGAGGTGCGAGGACGGGGGAGGTGCGAGGACGGGGGAGGTGCGAGGACGGGGGAGGTGCGAGGACGGGGGAGGTGCGAGGACGGGGGAGGTGCGAGGACGGGGGAGGTGCGAGGACGGGGGAGGTGCGAGGACGGTGGAGGTGCGAGGACGGGGGAGGTGCGAGGACGGGGGAGGTGCGAGGACGGGGGAGGTGCGAGGACGGGGGAGGTGCAAGGACGGGGGAATAAAGAGGGGCCTAGAAGGCGAGAGGGTGATTTAGCCGACTCAGCCCCGCAGCCACCCCATCCCGTTTCACCCCTCTCTATCCCACTCCACCCCACTCAACCCCAGGCAAGCACTTCACGGACGTGGTGGGCAGGGCAGCACCTACTACGTGGCCCCAAGGGGTGATCAACGGGAGGTTTGTCCTGCTCACACCAACCTCACCCCACCCCATTTCACCCCCCTCTACCTCACTCCACCGCACTTCACCATCCTCTCTTCCCCAGGCAAGCACTTCACGGATGTGGTGGGCAGCGCCTATTACGTGGCTCCTGAGGTGCTCAAGAGGCGGTCGGGGCCGGAGAGTGACGTGTGGAGCATTGGCGTCATCACGTACATCTTGCTGTCGGGCAGACGACCGTTCTGGGATAAAACAGAGGCCGGCATTTTCAATGAAGTGAGGAAAGGGACAGGGGGGATCGGAGGGAATAGGTGAGGAGGGAGGGAGGGGGGGATGGGGGGGAAGAGACAGATAAGAGGGAGAGTGACGTGTGGAGCATTGGCGTCATCACGTACATCTTGCTGTCTGGCAGACGACCGTTCTGGGATAAAACAGAGGCCGGCATTTTCAATGAGGTGAGGGCAGGGACAGGGGGGATCGGAGGGAATAGGTGAGGAGGGAGGGAGGGGGGGATGGGGGGGAAGAGACGGATAAGAGTGAGAGTGACGTGTGGAGCATTGGCGTCATTACGTGCATCCTTCTGTCAGAGAGACGACCGTTCTGGGATAAAACGGAGGCCAGGATATTCAGCGAGGTGAGGGATAGATGGGGTAGAGAGCGGTTGAGAGTGGCAAAGGAGCGTCGGGGCCTTGGGGTGAAGAAGAAATGGGAGCATAGCAGCACACCTTGTTACGAGTCTATTTATCTCCCCATTCCCTCTCTATTCATTCCGTATTCACCTCCCCTCTGTTCCATGCGATCCCACCAGGTGCTAAAGAAGAAACCGGACTTCAGGGAGAAGCCATGGCCGCAGATATGTCTTTCACTCTATTCACTCTGCATTTACCCTGTTGTGCCCCTCTGTTCCATGCGATCCCTCCAGGTGCTGAAGAAGAAGCCTGACTTCAGGGAGAAGCCATGGCCGCAGATCTCATCCAGCGCCAAGGACTTTGTCAAGAAGCTGCTCAAGAAGGACCCCCGCGCCCGCCCCACCGCCGCCCAGGCCCTCTGTGAGTCAATGAGCTGCCTGCTGGTTGTGTTGTGTGTGAATCGATTCCCAGTGCTGGTTTGGTCACTGGGGTTGGCTGCACATCTCATCCAGCGCCAAGGACTTTGTCAAGAAGCTGCTCAAGAAGGACCCGCGTGCTCGCCCCACCGCCGCCCAGGCCCTGTGTGATTCAACGCGCGGCCTTTGAGGCGTGCATTGTGTGCGCACAGTACAGTGATATCCAACATGCCCGTTGGGCACAGCAGTGTGACATTTCCCAGCATTCCTTCCTATGTTGCCCGTTCCCACCTTTCTCCCTCCCCTCCCCTCCCCTCCCCTCCCCTCCCCTCCCCTCCCCTCCATTGCACCCCACCACCAGCGCACCCATGGGTGAAGGAGGGTGGAAACGCGTCGTCCATCCCGCTGGACATAGCAGTGCTGTCCAACATGCGCGAGTTCGTCAAGTACTCACGCCTCAAGCAGATGGCGCTCAAGGTGAGAGAGCAAGCACGCACCGCATGCACGCACGCACCCACGCAAGTGTGGTGGTGGTGAAGGTGAGTGGTGCCATCCCCCCCATGTCCCATCGTCCATCCCGTTGGACATAGCAGTGCTGTTCAACATGCGCGAGTTCGTCAAGTACTCACGCCTCAAGCAGATGGCGCTCAAGGTGAGAGAGCAAGCACGCACCGCATGCACGCACGCACCCACGCAAGTGTGGTGGTGGTGAAGGTGAGTGGTGCCATCCCCCCCATGTCCCATCGTCCATCCCGTTGGACATAGCAGTGCTGTCCAACATGCGCGAGTTCGTCAAGTACTCACGCCTCAAGCAGATGGCGCTCAAGGTGAGAGAGCAAGCACGCACCGCATGCACGCACGCACCCACGCAAGTGTGGTGGTGGTGAAGGTGAGTGGTGCCATCCCCCCCATGTCCCATCGTCCATCCCGTTGGACATAGCAGTGCTGTCCAACATGCGCGAGTTCGTCAAGTACTCACGCCTCAAGCAGATGGCGCTCAAGGTGGGTTACTGTTCGCTGGGACTCCACGGTGCCACGCAGCTGGTGTGATGTGTTTTGAGATGTCTCAAAACACTACTTCAAACCTGTGTTGTGTTGGTTGATAGAGCCATCTCCCGTGTAACGTGCGCCGAGTTTGTCAAGTACTCGCGTCCAAGGGACCTGCTCAACAATGCTTGTTTGCTCCAATCATGCTCGTGCCCCAACTTGTCCTCATTGCCTTTCCTCCTCCCCTTCACCAGGCGCTAGCGACGACCCTAGAGAGCACGGAGGTGCAGCAGCTGAGGGACCAGTTCAACGCGATGGACATCAATGGGGATGGCACCATCACCATCGATGAGATCCGACATGTGAGCTCGTTCTAGCATGTCAAGAGGTGACATGTGAGCTCCTTGCTAGCACACCTTGCGAGCGCCTCGAAAAACGTCAACGGGGATGGCACCATCACCATCACCATTGACGAGATCCGACATGTGAGCTGCTTGTTGGCATGTCTAGAGATGGGATATCTGGGGCATGTCGAAAAACATCAACGGGGATGGCACGATCACCATCGACGAGACCCGACATGTGAGCTTGGTGTCACTACCAGCAGCACACCCTCACACGCGCTGAAATCAGCTGAGTGCTATCTTAACTCAATGCATCTTAACTCAATGCATCTTAACTCAATGCATCTTAACTCAATGCATCTTAACTCAATGCATCTTAACTCAATGCATCTTAACTCAATTCATCTTAACTCAATGCATCTTAACTCAATGCATCTTAACTCAATGCATCTTAACTCAATGCATCTTTACTCAATGCATCTTAACTCAATGCATTTGCTTCTGAGTGCTGCCTCCTGACCAACCTCCTGATTTCTCCTTCTGTCATTTGCCTTCTCATCCCCTCTCCCGATGTGTTCCTGTTTCCCGTGCTCCATCCAGGCGCTCAACAAGGACCTCCCATACGAAGTGAAGGAGACCAAAGTGGTGCAGATCTTGCAAGCTGTGAGTCCACTCTGCCCACACCACGCCTGCGCTCACTCATCAGGCCTCACTCACTCATCACGTCTGCGCTCGCTCATCGCGCCTGCGCTCACTCATCAGGCCTCACTCATTCATCACGCCTGCGCTCTCCACTGCCAGCAGTATGCCCGTGCACGCTGCTGGCGCGTGCACTGATTTCGCCCCCCCTTGTTGGCTTTTGAGAAGCCAAGGGCGCCCTCACTAAAACTGAGAAATGCGCAAGGCCGTGCGTTCTCCCCTTGTTGGCATTTTAGAAGACTCAGAAGCCATCTGCGTTTCTCTTGCACGCCCTTGCGCATTTCTCAGTCTTAGTGATCTTATTCTGTGCCACCTTGCTTGAAAATGTTTCTTCCCGACGCCCAGTCCTCCCCTTTGTACTCGAAGCCTTGTCTTGAATCTGTTATGGCATCACACACTGTGTCGACCCTTTTTGAAGAGTTAGTATCGGCCACGCTGCACGTGCGGCAGCTGGAGGAGGCTGATTCGGCCAAGTGTGAGGAGCATGTTTTCTGACGTGCCTCACATCTCATATGTCCCCAATCTCGAACCCCACTCTCCCACTCTCTCACTCCCTACTGCCGCTCTCCACTCCCACTCTCTACTGCCACTGACTTCCGTCTATGCCCACAGATGGACACCAACTGCGATGGCATAATTGACTTTGACGAGTTTGTGGCAGCCACGATCCATGTGCAGCAGCTGGAGGAGGCTGACTCGGCCAAGTGGGAGGAGCGATCCAAGGCGGCGTTCAACCACTTTGATACGGATGGTGATGGTTTCATCGACGCGGAGGAGCTGAGAGTGGTGAGATGGTGTTTCAAAGGGTTCCAAGATGTTTGTGTGCGGTTCAGCTGGATTTGAGTGGTGTGTGTCAGGGTTGTAGGGTGCTGAAATCTGGTGGAAATTGCATCTGAGGAGGCCTATTCGGCCAAGTGGGAGGAGCGATCCAAGGCAGCGTTCAACAATTTTGGCATGGACGGCGATGGGTTCATTGATGCAGAGGACCTGAGAGCGGTGAGATGGCGTTCCAAGGGGTTCCAGGATGGTTGCGTGCGGTTCAGCAGGATTGAGTGGTGACGGGGTTGTAAGGTGCTGAAATTTATTGAAATGTTGTGATTGAAACTTGAGGAGGCCGACTCGGCCAACCGGGAAAAGCGGTCTCGGGCGGCCTTCAACCATTTTGACACTGATGGCGACAGCTTCATCGATGCAGAGGAGCTGAGAGTGGTGAGATGGTGTTATATGGGTTCCAGGGTGGCCCTGTGCGGTTTAGCTGGGTCTGAATGGTGACTGGGTTGGAATGTGGTGAAATCTGGTGAAAATTGAATGTGAGGAGGCTGACTAGGCCAAGTGGGAGGAGCAGTCAAAGGCAGCTTTCAATCATTTTGACACGGACGGCGACGGCTTCATCAATGCAGAGGAGCTGAGAGTGGTGAGATGGTGTTGCAAGGTGTTCTGATTGGTGGTGGTGTGGTTACTTGCTTAGGGTTGTGGCAATTGATTCTCGGGCCTCCCAAAAGTTGCGCTTTTTACTGTCTTACCTCCGCTCCCCCCGCTTTCAAACAGGCGGCGCAAGTGAAGGGATCGCTGGGGCGATTGATAGATGAGGGGGACGTGGACGGGGACGGGCGAATCAGCTTGCCCGAGTTCCAGAAGCTTCTGCGCTGCGCCAGCATTAACTCTCGCACTAACACCACCTCGCGATCGCGCGGCCTCTCGGGCTTTGGAGTGATCGCTGAGTAGCTCTCTGTATCCTAACCCATCAACATCATTGTAGATTACCTCAACTAATCTCACAAGTGATTCAAGCTCGGGAATTGGAGCAATTGCCGCTAGCTCTCTGTGTTCTAACCCAATACCCTTCTTAGGTAGACGGTGCTTGATCCTTGTTTTTTTATCTACTGACGGTTTTTGCTTAATGTAGGGACTAAACAGCTGTTTTGTTGTGTTTGTGTGACAAGCATATGTGTTGTACGACAAACATGCAGCATACGGTACCTCTATAGATTTCGTCTCTGAGTGGCGTATACAAGACACGAATCGGTTCAGTACGATGAGGTTCGCAGCGCGGTCTATTGAATCTTTTTATAAAGTGAACGGCATGATCCTTCCAGTCCTCTCCATGAATACTTGAATCCGCATTCCTTGATTCTCATCTAACTTGTTTTCACCCGCTCTTCCGCCCTTCCTCCTGGCGATGCGCTCGAGTCTGAGGTAACTCAGTTCGTGGTTTCCTCGGTCGCTGGCCCTGATATCTGCGTGACAAAAAATATTACGTCCGCGTTATTGCGTAGAGTTTATAAAGCTCGTGAATATCCTAGTCCTCATCGTGGTTCGCGCGCATGGAGGAGGACTGGGAGGAGGAGGTTGTTGACGCGTCGCAGGGAGGCGCAACGCAAGCGGAGGACGACAGGACGTACATTGGCAGTGTGTTGTTTAACATCAAGGGTCTACAGCACTACCCGGGGACCGTGAACCCGCGAGAGGTTCGTTGTAGATTCGTTAAGAGACGTCTCGATATGCATTGGCAGTGTGCTCGTCAACATCAACGGGCTGCAGCACTACCCGGGGACCGTGAACCCGCGAGAGGTTCGTTTCTGCACGTAGTACATGTAGACTCGTTAAGAGCCGTCTCGATATGCGTCGGGAGCGTGCTCGTCGACATCAGGGGCTTGCAGTACTACCCGGAGACTGTCAACCCGCGAGAGTTCTGTACCTGCGTGCGTGTACATTTAGACTCATTCAGAGGTGTCTCGATGCATTTTAGCATCAACATGCTGTTACCTTCCATCAGGGGCTTGCAGCACGACCCGGGAACCGTGGACCCGCGAGAGGTTCGTACCTGCGTGCACACGTAGATTCGTTATAAGGCGTCTCAATGTATCTCAATGTACGTTGGGAGCGTGCGCGTAAACGTCACAGGGCTGCATGGTTACCCAGGGACCGTGAATTTGATGAAGGGTAGTTCCTTCCAGTCGCGATTTCCTCTTTACATGTGTTTCCGCTTTCATCTTTCCTGCGACCCAACCTGCAGATGGTTCGGCTTATTCGGGAGCCCAATAACGCGCACGACCGCAATGCCATTCGCGTGGACAACATCAGAGGGCAGGAGGTAGGCCACGTGGAGGCCAAAATGGCCTGCCACCTGGCGCCACTTGTCGACGCAGGATTGGTCGCGATCGAAGGCCTGGTGACGCGTGGAACTAGGAACAAATATCAAATGCCATGCCACATGTGCTTGTTCTGCTCCCCTGAATCTGCTCCTGAGGTCGCATCTCGCCTACTCTCTGCCGGAGTGCCTCTGGTGGAAACCAACAGCCTCCCTGGTTCGGACACTTTCGGGGAAGCTTCTTCCTCTGGTTCGTTACAGTCCGTTTCGTTACAGGCTGCTTCGTCTGCTGCGACAGTGGCTGCTGCTTTGGCGGCGCGAAGAGCCCCGATGAGCCAAGCAGAACAGGATAAGGCGGTCTTATCCATGTTCGATGACCTGGCATGCCAGGTGGAAGCGGATCGGCCCACTGCGGATCCGCCTTGCCACGTCATCAGGTCGTCCCTCCTGCCACATCAGCAGCGGGCGCTGGCGTGGATGATCAAGAGGGAAAGTGCGAGGAAGCTTCCGCCGTTCTGGAAAGCCGGGGCATTAGAATCAGGCAGCAGCAGCAAAGGGAAGAGAGGAGGGAGAGGAGGAGGGGGGAGGGGGGGAGGGAGACAGGGCAGGGGAGGGCGGGGAAGAGGGATAGAGGGACAGGGAGAGGGCGCACGAGGGGTGGAGGGGGGAGCGGGAGGGAAGGAGGGAGAGGCTGCAGATGGGGGAACGGCAGAGGAGGAGGATGGAGATGATGGGGGGGAGGGCGGGGGGCGAGTGTTCACTAACGTTCTGACCAACTTCACAACAGACGAGAGGCCTAAGGCGCTGAGGGGAGGCATTCTGGCCGATGACATGGGGCTGGGGAAAACGCTCTCCCTGCTCTCCCTCGTTGCTGCCACCACTGCTGCTGCTGACACTGGTGAAACGCAAGCAGCCGCAACTACTGCTGCTGGGGGGACCCAAGGGGAGCAGAGCAGGGCGACGCTAGTGGTGTGCCCTCTGTCCGTTCTCTCCAACTGGACGGCGCAGATAGCAGAACACGTGGCACCAGGAGCGCTGAGTTACTATGTGTACCACGGGGCAGGCCGCGTGAGAGATCCGAGCTTCCTCTCTGGCTTTGACCTTGTCTTCACCACCTACAACATCCTCGCTTCTGAGTGCCCCCCTCCCTCTGCCTCCACTGCTGCTGGTGCGGCTGCTGGTGGTGCTGCTGGTGGCTCTTCTGCTGGTGATGGTAGGGGTGGGTCAGGAGGGATGGCAGAGGTGCAGCGGGCTGACAGTCCGCCGCCCTCGCCTCCTTCCATTCCTGGGTGCCCAGGGATGCTCATGCCTGCTTATGCCGGCATGCCAGGGGCGCGGGGAAGGAAGAGGAAGGCTCCAGGGGCAGCAGCGCAGGGGCAGAGGAAGCGAGGGGGGATGGCAGGGACGGCGGGAGGGGCGAGCAGCAGCAGTAGGAGCACTGCAGGAGCTTCAGCAGCAGGAGGAGCAGGAGCAGAGACAGCAGGTGGAGGGCCATTGATGCAGGTGAAATGGAGGCGGGTGATTCTAGACGAGGCACACGTGATCAAATCCGTGCGGACGCGGGCTTCGCGGGCGGCGACAGCGCTGCAGGCGGAGAGGCGGTGGGCGGTGACGGGGACTCCGGTGCAGAACCAGCTGGGGGATCTCTTCTCGCTGCTCTGCTTCCTGCGCCTTGATCCTCTCAACGATCGCTCGATCTGGACCCGCGCGATCGAGCGGCCAATGATGGAGCGCCAGCACATTGGGCTGGACAGATTGAGGGTATGTTTAAATCATGGGAGTGTGTGTGTTCGTGTGGTTGGGTGGATGGGCGGATGGGCGGATGGGTGGGGGGTGGGTGTGCATGTGCGTGTTTGGGTGTGTGCGCGCAAGTGTGTGCATGCGTGTGAGTGCGAGCATGCTTGACCTGTTTCCACAAGCCACCTCTTTCCCACCCTTCTCATCGCACCTCCGCAGGCACTGGTTCTCACGTCAGGTCAGCGGCACACCGATGACACGCACGTGAACGGCTTTTGAGACGTCTCATAAATTGTTTTGCTTTGCTTCCACAATCTGCCTCCCTCCCACCCTTCTCGCCCCATTTCCACAGGCACTGGTTCTCACGACGGCTCTAAGACGCACCAAGGACATGCAGGTGAACGGCCGGCTGCTGCTGTCACTCCCTCCCAAGACCGTGCAAGTGCTGCCAGTCGACCTGCTGCCAGAGGATCGGGATCTCTATGACCAGTGAGCGTCTTTATCTTTTTTCTTTTAAGCCACTGGTGTTTGTGCTCCTGGCAGTGACTGAGCCTGAGTGATTGCTGTCACTCAACATGCTGCCAGAGGATCGGGATCTCTACAACTGGTGAGGATGGCCCTTTGGTGTGACTGTTCACTTGTGATTGCACAAGAGTCACTTGTATATGTATCACCAGTCACTCACCCTTTGCTTTGTACTGTTAACACCACACTCTCAGTATTCTTGCTACCTCACCCCCACTACACCCACCCTCATTGTTCTCTTCCAGGGTGCAGGAGGAGGTGCGGCACCTTGTGGGGGGCATGATGGCACAGGGCACGTTGATGAAGAACTATGCTACAGTGCTCGAGATGATCCTACGGCTCAGACAGATTGCAGACCACAAGGGACTCTGTCCTCCGCACGTTCTTGAGGCCATTGCTGCGTCTGCTGCTGCAGCAGAAGAGGCAGACAGAAACCAGGATGCAAAAGGTGCACAAGCATATGAAACATTAAGGGGAGTTCTGAAATGGGGGTGTGGATATTGACAATGGTGCGTGATGCTCGTTTCTGTGCTATGGCTTATTTCAATCTGTGTTTTCCTTCTTCCCAACTCTCTGCATTTCTTCAGCTGCAGTTCCTTTGGACCCCCTTCTGAGTCAGAAGCTTCAGGAACTTCTGGCAGCAGGAGCAGCAGACGAGGACTGTCCCATCTGCCTCTCTCCTCCCACTCTTCCTGTCATCACACCCTGCTCTCACATCTTCTGCCGCCGCTGCATTCGCCGGGTTCTCTCGATACAGAAGCATGCCTGCCCCATGTGCAGAGCGCCAGTGGATGAGGCTCATCTGGTGGAGGCTCCACCTGATTCCGCAGAAGGAGAGGGTGGTGGCGCTAATGGGGATCATGCCAAGGGGGGCTTGATGGAAGGGGTTGAGGGGAATACAAGTGCCAAAATTGATGCGCTTATAGCCGCTCTTCATGAGCCTCTTCAGGTGCCACCAGGGTACCAACCTTCAGAGGGTGGAGATGCTATTGCAGGGCCTAGTGCACTGGGAGGAGGTGGTGGGCGTCAGCAGCTGAGGGTTAAGAGTGTTGTGTTTTCTCAGTTCACTCGAATGCTGGATTTGGTGTATGAGAGGTTACAAGCTGCAGGATTCAAGTGCTGTAGGTTGGATGGCCGCACCAAGCTAAGTCTGAGGGAGAAGGCTATTGCAGAGTTCAACCGAGTGGATGACGATTCTCCTACAGTCTTCGTTGTGGGGCTCAGAGCAGCAGGTGAGAGTGCACATTCTCTTAGCAAAATATTTTTTATTCTGCAGTCCTCTTGGTCTTCCCTTCTACATTTGTTCATGTTGGTGCCTGGCAGGTGTCGGTTTGAACCTAACAGCTGCCTCGCGTGTGTTTCTGCTTGAACCGTGGTGGAATCCTGCTGTGGAGCAACAAGCAATGGACCGAGTCCATCGCATTGGACAGGTACAAGAGTTGGTGATGCTCAAGATTTGGACAAGCTGACACGTATACAGTAAACATTGAATTTTGTGCTCCCGTGCTGCTTTCATGTGCAGGAAAATCCGGTGGATGTCGTGAGAATGGTTGCTGCTGACAGCATAGAAGAACGAATGCTGGTGCTTCAGGAAAGAAAAAGAGCAATTGCACGTGCTGCCTTCGAACATAGATCCGCTGAAGATCAGCAACTACTTCGGATGGATGATGTGCGTCTGTTGATGGACATGTAAGTGTCATGCGCTGTACAATAAAAAATGTAGAAGACATGGGTTCCTTCCGCTCCCAGAACTAGTCATTCTTCAAGATGCCTTTCCGCAATAGCTGGCTGCAGACGGTCGAAGACATCTTGTGCCGACCGGAGCCTTGTTCCAATTTCATCATTCATGGACTCCAATTCCTTGATTTCTTCGAGTTGGCGTTGCCAAATTGCAACTTGCTTTTCATGAATCCTGCAACGCACGGTGGTGAATATAATAGGACGGATCAGTGGCTAAACAGAAATTTGTGTTTGATTCCTCGACTTACTGAACGAGCTGCTCCTCCCATACTGCGTGAGCGGCGGAAAGAGCTTGTTTCCCAGCATCAAGAATTGCGCAAAGCTGACAACAAAATGAAGGATATGCGTCAGCTTGAGCTTTTCAATGTAGAAGCAACGCTGAGAGTCAAAACAACCTTTTGTGTGAATTCTTCTATTCTTTTGTGAGCTTCCGCCACTGCAGGACTATGCTCTCGATCTCGTGCTTCAGGCGAATCTGGCTGTCCAGCAGTATCATCCTGCGTGTCAGTCTTTTGGGAAGAATCTTCTCTTTGCCTCTTCAGCATTGGTTCCACATCAAGGTCACGCTGCATCAGTGGTAAGAACGAGTTAGACTATAGCAACGATTCGTAATGAATGTACTTCGCCTACACACCTCGTGGCTGTCAGTGGCATCCATAGCAAGTAAGGCGATAATGAAGGTAATGACGTGATGAAGCTGAGTTCTGTCAGAAATTGAAGGTAGAACAATGAGATTTGTGGAACTGCTGGGACTTGTTGCAGGTCATCAGTCACACACACCAATCCCGAGGGTCCCGTGTTGGCGGCCCCGCCCGGCTCGATACAGGGTGTGCGTGCTTCCACATTGTATTTGACTATTTGCAGAAAATGTTTTGTTCGAGCTCCCCATTGAATCACACCCATTCCCGTAAAAGTCATGCTAGTTCACATTCCATCGCACTCGCTACCATCACAGCAAGCGAGTCCGACGACACCACTCACGACTTCAACCGCTCACGTTCGATCGCGTGTAGCCAACGGCTGAAACAGTAATCTTCACAACATCAACTGCTCACCTCTCTCTCTGGCCAGGGGGTTCCGCCGAACAGAGAATTCCGAAGTCCCCCTTCCCCCCACCTTCCCCAACCACCCGATTTCCCCCGCTTCTCCCGTCCCCTCCCCATCCCCTCTCCTTCCTTCACTCCCGTCCCGTCTCACCTCCAGGGCTGATGTTTCCCCTACAGCATGCTCGAGCAGTTCCAAACAAAGCCGAACGCACTTGCAGCTAGCTAAGCCCAAACGCATCAAATTCGGCATCACGATTCACGGCCCTCCTTTCCATCCTATCGTGCCGCGTTCACCCCTCCCCATTTCCCACCTACCCTCATCTCAGCTTTCCGTGCCTAGACTGTCGTCTAGTTTCGCACTGCTGCCGCCTTGAGTGTCAAGGTCGAGTAAGAGCGTTGTCAAAAAGGTCCAACTCCTTCTTCCACTTTTCGAGTTCTCTCTTTTCCATGAGCGCCAAGTCACTTTAACCCATGGATCAGAGGATCGCGGGAATAGAGGATAACCTAAATCGAATGCATTTCCGGCCTTCGCCAGTCCACCCTTCGTCAGTCGGCCCCTCGCCACTCCACCCTTCAGAAGGACACCCGTCGCATCTCAACCGATCCAATGTGATGGAACAATGGATGTCGCCACAGCACCATCACTTCGCCAACAGCCCTTCGCCACAGCACCATCACTTCGCCAACAGCCCTTCGCCACAGCATCATCTGTTCGGCAACAGCCCTCTGAGCAACCTTCCCACATTCGACCAGCTGAGCGAGAGGCATCGGCACGGCCACAAACACCGGCGTCAGAAGCAGGACGGGTCAGGGAAGGACAGAGGCGCACGACGAATCTCCGAGGATGCTTCCAGCGTATCGTCGGACATGAACGGTTACCATACAGACCCTGCCGTCCACGCGGAACCTTCCTGGACGGTGCGGTCAGTGGAATCAGCGGCTTCCGTTCCTCCTGTTCTTGAGACGTTCAAAAGTCCCGCGCATCCTGCTTCGTATCACCCTCAGCGGAGCCACCGTCCTTCCGCATCTGTCGCTCCTTCCGCGCATGGAGGTCCAGAAGCAGCGGGTTCGGCGCTCACCCAATACCCGCCGCAGTTTCCGCAGGCGCTTCGGAACTGCTACTCCGCCCCGCAACCCGGCGAGTCGGAAACTTGCGTGCTCTCACGGCAGCTCGCCGGCGCGCGGGAGATTAAAGTCATGGCTCGCGACACGGCGGTATGCGGTTCCATGGTTGAAATGGGAGCAGCGAAAGTGCTGTTGTCGCTTGTAGACAGCGTGATAGAAGCGGAGGAAGGAAGGGAGTCCATGGATTCGCGTTATGAGGTTGCTGAGGAGGCAGCTGCCGCGCTGTTGAACTTGTCTCTAGATAAGACCGCCAAGCACATGATGAGGAGCCATGGCATCATCCCTACCATTGTGAGGTTGGCTGATATCACCCGCAGCAGTCCGGACTGCCCTGACAGTGCCAGTGGTAATGCTCATAAGTTACCCAACAATGCCCAGCAGAATGACATAAGCAGCTATTCTGACGGTAGCGCCGGGACCCCCACCTCCACCCGCACCAGCTCCGCGCATTTGCCACTTAGAGAGCTCGCAGTGGCGATAATCCATAGCCTTGCACAGTCAACAGCGCTGAAAGAGGACCTGGTGGATCAGTGGGTGGTGCAGCCGCTGGTAGGCCTGTTGAGGGAGCCAGCATGCAGCAAGGAGGGACAGAAGGACGCCTTGTACGCGCTCTACCTCTTATCTATGTGCGAGTCTGGGAGGTTGGCTCTTGCGTATCGCGGCGCTGTGCCTTTGCTGCTGGAGGTGGCACTGTGCGGTACGCAAAGAATTAGCCATCTGTATGCGAAGCAGTCAGGGAGATTCTTTGACAAGGCCATTCATGCAGTGGCGAATGTATCCGAGGAGCGATCGGGACTTGCTGCTTTGGTAAGCAGCAAAGTTAAATGCTGGTCTTGTGAAGCTGGTGGTGCTGGCTCTGATGGCTGCCCTCAAATTGGGAATGGAAGCTGCATCGAAGTTTCGGGACTGCAAGGGCTTTTCAAGCTGCTTGCGAGTGGGAGTGACGCGACAAAGCAGCATGTTGTTTCAATTCTGCACCGGATTGTCAGAAATGCTGGGCAAGGCGGTGCGCAAGTTTTGGATGAGATCTGGTCCTTGCGGCAAAAGGAAAAGCCGAGGCCATATCTGGAGGCTTTAGCAAACGCTGGATCGCCCAAAGCCCAGCAACTCTTGATGGTGCTGTTTCCTGCCAAGGTGGCTAAAGAAGCAGCAAAAAACTGACTTCTTTAGTGCTGGTTTTAACTGCTATTCCATCAGCTGGAATGGGATCCTGTTTGATTTTCCTTGGTGTCCGTATCCTGATTGTATAGATGCAGTTTTGGTGGGTTGACTAACTTCTTGAACGCAATAATACTGGATTCCGATTCCGCTTATATGTCGCCTCGCCTGCCTTCTGCCTGCCGCATCTTCTCAGTCGGTGCAGGGCGCAGTCATATCCCAATCCCACACGGCGTGCCCAGCGCGCCACGTCTGGAATGAACAAGCCAGTGGGATCGGAGAATTTGGGCCAATGGAATGCGGTGTTCCCTGCCTCCTCTGCTTCATACAGGATCACAATCATGTGTCCAATGTGCTCCCCCTCGAGTCAGCGGAGCCACTCAACCTCCCCACGTCGACGCCAGTGGCCAACCATGATTAGAAATTACAGTAGTCGTAGATCTTCTTCTGAACGGTCTGGATTCATCTGTATCCAGCTTGATTTTTCTGATTAGGACCAATAAAATGCTGCAACCACGACGTCAAAGCCAGGTGGGCAGATTGGAGGCATTGGGACGAGTTCAACCACTGGCACCTGATCTGAACGATCCGACTTATATTTGAACCACATACCACATGACTGGCCTTCACCTTTCACCTGCTCCTCTTCATACACACACAGCTTGGATGTACAAGAATTCATCCTAAATATCTTCAGAGAGCAAGGTCCAAGTGTCATGCTGTCTCGTTCCGTCTTCACATTAGTAGAGCCTGCTGTAGTGTCTAGTGTTCGGAGGGAGGAAGTCTCGTACTTTTTGTCACGATTGCGCGCCGCATGAAGAGCGTATTTAGTATTGCGTACCTGCTGACGATTGGTCATTACTAGGAAGCATGAACGATATACCTGTTCATCCGCGAGTGCAGGTACCTGGCTTCCAGAAAAAACTTCTCAGGGCGAACCGAGTCAAATCTGCCTTAGAAAGCATCAGGAATGGAGGCCGCAGCAACAACAACAACAGTTGCAGCGATGGTTCCAGCTCCGGAGATGTATTGTCTACCGCGCATCGAACCAGGCTAAGAGACAATGAAGACGGCTTGCCGGCTCTTCAGGATACCTATGGCCGTCATCTCATTGCTCAAGACATTCACGGAAACTACTCTGTTCTAACAAATAGCTACGAGAGTTCTGTCACTATCGGGTCTACTGTACCTGGCTCTTCTCATCCTCCTCTCCCCCCTCCTCCTTGTCCTACGCCACCTGAGGTTACAGGCGGTTGCGCTTTCGGTTATTCCGCTGGTCACAGCTTCGGTGAGCCAACAAGCCACGGAATCTCTCCTTCAATATCCCGCGACTTGGACGGTCCTTCTGCTTCCCGCTCCACTCTTGCTCCCACCTGTTCCGAAGCTTCTTGCCGAAGCATCATCTCCCGCACAGACACTACTGGCACGGAATCGTTGAATACGCCCGCTTCTTCGAGAAGGTACTCCGCGCTCGTGCGACCCGTGCTATCAAACGACGCGGTAGAGGAGGGGGGGGTAAAGGAGCCCGTGAAAAGCCATCATGTGGGGAGGCAGCGGATGGGACAGTTTCTGCGAAATGTTGTAACCAGTCTGGTTTCGCCGTATGAGGTCCAGAATCATCATCATGCTTCTCCTCCTCCTCCTCCTGCTTCTGCTCCTTCTGGCGCTGCTGCTGCTACCGCCGCTGCAGCTGTGCACCCACTCCCTGTCACAGATTCACACGCGCCGTCCATTCCCTCATCACCTTGCCCTTCTTCACCGGTCCCTTCCTCACCCACCTCTTCTACATCACACCCCTCTCCCATCGCTCCCCGCTTATCCTCTTCCTCAGCATCCTCCGCCCATTGCTCTTCCTTCCCCTCCCGCTCCCCCTTCCCTCCGCTTACCCCCTCTCCGCCCTTCAGCCTTTGCCCCTCTCCCGCCGTCGCCATACCATCCCTTTCCGAGCTGCAATCTAATACCAGAACCTCGTCTGCATCTCGATCTTCTCGCCTTCATTCTACCTCCTCTCGTCCTGCGAATCCCGATGGAGCTGTCGCTAATGAGCCTGCGTCGCCGCCGTCTCTTCCGCCGGGTTTTCAGCGGGCTTTGCTGGACTGCTGTGCTTGTAGGGATTCCGGAGAGACCAGTACGGCGCTGCTAGAGAGGCAGATGGGAGGTGCGCGGCAGATCAGGCATATGGCACGGGATCTAGAGGGGTGCAGAGCGGTGATGGTGGAGAAAGGAGCGGTGGGAGCGCTGTTGCCTCTGCTAGATTGGGCTGAAGGCGGACCAGGGGTTCAGCCGTGGGTAGGCGAGGATGGGGGGAAGGAAATACTGGGGGATAAGAGTTCACTGAGAGATTTAAGGCTGAAAGTAGTGGAAGAGGCAGTAACAGCGCTGCTAAATCTGTCCATCCACCCTTCAGCTAGAGAACTTATGTTAAGCTTTGGGGTTGTTGCTCCGGTCACTCAGATGGTTGGAAGCAGGCAGTGGGGACTTTCACGAAGCAGCAGCAGGAGCAGCGGTGGAATTTTGAGTGGCGACAGGGCTAGCTTGAGTGGTAGTGACGCTGTTGTGCCTGTTTATATCAGAGAAGTTGCAGCAGCGCTTATATTCAGCCTTGCTCAAGTGGCTGAGAATAGAACCGAGCTAGTGAGGTGTGGTGCAGCCGAGGCTCTGGTTCAGTTGCTACAGGAGCCAAATTGCAGCAGTCAGGGAAGGACGGACGCTTGCAAAGCATTGTCAAACTTATCTACCATTTCGGCTGGAAGACTCAGCATGGTTCGAGCTGGAGCGGTGCCAATGCTGCTGGAGCTGGCACTGATGGGCCATGCTGGTGATGAGTACATATCTGAGAAGGCCTTGGGAGTGCTTGCTAATGTGGCAAGGGAAGAAGCGGGAAGGGAAGCCATAGTTGGTTCGCAGGTTCACGATGGGGCATGGGATTGGGCTTCTGGCAGTGCTGCCTGTGGGACTTCTGAACTTCCTCAACCCTCCGACAGCTTGAGAATGGCTTCAGGGTTGAGTATTCTTTTGGAGTCACTGGATAGTGGCTCGGAGCGAAGCAATGAGTTTGCAGTTTCGGCTTTGCTCTATGTCGCAAGGAGCAGCCAAAAATGGAAGGAGTTGTTACTGTTGGAGGCACCTCTTCCATCTGTCAAGGCTGTGGCAATGAAAGGCAGCCTTCGAGCGAGAGAAAAGGTAAGCGTTTCCATCTTACTGTTCCACGCTTGAGTGCATCTGGATGAACGTTGGGAGGGATCAAGCTATGTCATTTGGCAATCTCTGTGCTGCGCGCATCTTGGGAATTGTACCCTGATTCATGTCCTTTTCATTCTTGCAGGCACAGAAGCTGTATGAGCTTCTCAGGGGATAAATATTTCGCCCAACATGCAGGATTCGTTATTGTTTCAAATAAAGATGCATTGGATCTTGTTAGAATTTGAAGTGAGTTTGTAGGATCGTACTACTTAGGATGGTAACTTCCTGTCGTAGCGGAAGTCTTATATGAGTTAAGCCAGTTGTGAAGGCTTTGTCTAGACTTAATAAAGTCTATGTAGTGATATGTTTCAGGATCAAAAATGTCTCTGAAATCAGATATTTTATAAAATGACAAACATACAAAATATATAGCTAGAGTAAAGTACCTGTTCGCCTACTTGTACTGTGCTATTCTTATCTTGAAACGGTACGTAACTATTCGCGAAGTCTATAGCTACGTGCTGACGTCATCCTAGGTCGCGTAGCGCTTTGCTGACGTCAGCCTATCGGTACTTTACTGTACTACACGAATTTCCTTGAAGTGCTTTACGTCTCGATATTATCTCAACAGATCTGACCTGGACAAGGTGCCTTCGGTGATCTCAAGCTTACCATGTTAGAAGTGTTTTAAAGCCCGGGTCCCAAATTGCAAGCTGCAGCCATCGAGATGACTGATCTTTATGAACTAGTTGTTACCCTGCAACACTTTCTAGAGACCCAGCCTAGTCCATTTACTCAACTTGAAGAACCTTGTTTTGCAACTTGAGACTTCAGCACAGACACAAGCACAATGAATACACCAAACATAGAAAGCCCTCGCTAGCCCATATATAAATGCTATATACCAGAACTCAACCTTCATTGGCATATTGGTCACACGGGTAGCTGTTCAAGCCCATCAAACCTCTTTTGAGCATGGTCGGAAACACTATTGACGATTTGGTGAACCAAACTCAAGTGACCATCCAGCATGCCTTCCAAACGCACTGCTTTTGCCTTCATTTCTTCCTTTGCTTGAAGCTCTGCCTGGCTTTGCTCTTCGAGCTGCATGTCACAATCCTGCTCATGGAAGGAAAGAGCTTTCTTACCGTATCTCCAAGGCATTGTCAGCAGAAACCATCAACCTAGGAACCCACCTGACTCTTTCGCCTCAGAGTTTCCAAACATGTTGCTCGCTTTTCAATCTCCGCACGTGCGAGTAATTCACACCTTTCGATATCTTCTAAGCGTGCTTGTACTTCCTGCTGGGCACGCTGAGATGCCTGCAGCATCTCTTCCTCTTTCTGCACAACAATGCATGGCATCACGCTTCCGTGCCCACTTGATTCACGTTTGAAATTCACGCAGTGTCCGTACAAGGCCCATTGTGAAAACCTACCCGTGTCTTCACATCCTCCTTGATTTCCAGCTCGGCAGAGATCTTAGCAACCTCCTCCGACTCCTCAGCAAGCTGAACTTCCAGTGTTGCCAGCTCCGCATACAGCCTCTGTTCTTTCAAAGAGTACTTCTCCGTCACTTCTTGAATAGCTGAACGGATATCTGCCTTGGACATGCTGTCAGACAGTATATCCCGAATGTTTGTTCCATGCGGATTAACTCGTACAGAGTAACAACGGCCCTGAGCATGCTTGCTAGATGGAGGGATAAGCTTGAGCCTGCACAGAACTTGGAAGCGTTAGACAGTAAGAACGAAATTACAGCAAAGTAATCCACTGAAAACTATCACCAACCTTGTCGCCAACAGATTGAACGTGCTTGCTGCCTGTTCGAGCTCCTCCATGGTCTTGACCTTTTGAACCTCCGCCTTGCATGCCTCCTTTTCAACATGCATCCGATTTTCCTTCAGAGCTTGTAACACGGCGTTCCTGCCAGCTAACCTCTCTGCCATGCGTTCTATGTCTTCTTTCGAGAATCGCTGTTCCTCAATCCGTTTCTGAAGCAGTGCATTGTTTGCCTGGATGCTGATTGTGGTCTCGGTGCAATTCGTCAGTTCTTGCTGTTTATCCAGCAAGATTTCCTCAAATGTCTGGAACATTTTGCAGAGTCAGTGTCGGTTTAGCATGGCAAATAACAGAAACTTTCTGTGACGTACTTGCAAGTCTATCTTCCCTCGTTCAGTCGCATTGACCAAATCGCCCTGCAGTTTCTCAAGCGTTGCTTGGTCCTCCAATAGCTTTTCGAGTTCAGTCCTATCCTGCTTGCGCTTCAAGGTGGCCTGTGGCACAGAAACGGAACGTTGTGAGCTTATCCTTTCTCAGAAACAAAACCGCATATACCCACTTACCTCCTTCCTCAGAAGCTCCTCTCGAAGATTTTGCACGTCGGTTTCCACCTCCTGTCGAGCTCCCTCAAAATAAGCCATGAACTGTTGCATGATGTGCTCGATTCTTGTGTCGGAAAGTTCCTCGGATTCGGCGTTCATAAAAACATAGTAACCCTCCTTCATGAACTCAAAGAACACAGCCCTGCAATGCTCCTCATCAAGCAATGCCGCGGAAGTTGGGTTTGTCAGTAGACTACTCTCAGAGCCTCGAGGTATCGACGACGCAGGCTGTGCTTGCATAGCTCCGGGATCGGACGTAGCATCAATGAAGTTAAGCGTCTGAACAAGCCAGTTCAGCATCGCCAGCAAGGGTGGCCACGTGTGGGGAGTTCCAGCCTGCTGCAGGGAGCTTCTAGAAAGGTTGTTCGGATAGTGCAGTCCCTTCATGATTTCCAGAATGTCATCTTCGGGCTTGCTTCCGTACTTAAATTTCGAATCCATCTGCTTTACCACAAACTCGAAGATCTTCAGGAAGAGCTTACCTGACGGAAGCTGAAGCATACTAGGATTCAGTGAGTTTTCAAAACCACGGTCCTCCAGAAATGCATAAATGGTCTGAATGCAATCTGCTTGGTAATTTTTGTCTTTCAGCGGACGAGGGTCCTCTCCAGGCTTCCTTGCTGAGCTAAGTCTACTGTGAGATTGGGGAGCGATGGAAGACCCTCCCTTGGCGAGGAGAGAGACGCGGCTGGGCTGGACAGCTGAACCAATTGCAGAAAAACGTCTTGATAAACTTGAAGCGGCGACAGGCGTCTCAAAGCTCGAACCAGACGATGAGGGGCGTGACTGGGAGGAAGTCATAGTATTTGGCGTGGCATCAAAGTTATTGCCTTGATTTGGTAGCGGAGTGCAAGGAATTCGGCTGATCAACGGAGCTGGAGGAACTTTGAACATCCCAGCACCACCGACGCTTTGATTCCGTTTTTTCAGCCTTGAGTCCATTGGAAACCACAAGCAGGGGACGGAAAAGAAGTCGCTGAACACGGAGATAGCCAGCAAAGAAGGTCGAGCTGATAGGTATTATGGAGCAGAAAAAGAGACTAATGGGCTGGAAAGCTTGGGAGCTCATAGCTTCCTTCGCTGATTTGAGTGTTTCTTGGCAAGGGGCTTCGCATGCACAGTCTTTCGTTCTGAGTGATTCGTTTACAGAAACGTGCACCTTTTCTACTTACTTACACGCCAAGCCCAAATGAAATGCATGTTACGCCATGTGAAACCAACTTCCCCAGCCCCCGCTTCAGTAACAAGCCACCACCGATTTGCGCCCGAACCTAGAAGTTGGGGAGCGGTGTCGGAGTTCCCGCCAAGTGCTTGGAAGATGTTGGGCCAAGCAGGTTCGCTTCACTCCATAACTAAACTCTGTTCGTACTAACTACCCTGCAAATGCCTCCATGTTTCACTTCCGTTGCCTAATCAGTAGATCGCCTGACGGATCTTCGACGTAGAACACTGGAGCTTGTTTGTTCTTTTCTGGCTGTACGAGTCAAGCGGTTTCTACCCGAATACCTTAGTCGCCGTATTTTGGGTGCACCTGTCGCCGCGTCCACTGTGTAGGCTAGCAGATAAATTGCTTTAATCTCGTTCGTTAACTGGTCGATCCTCGAGGCCGATCCTCGATGTCCCGACCGCAGCTCTTCGTTCCCCAGCCGGGGCAATCAGGGTCGTCCAATTCGCTACCTTCGGGATGGCAGTCCGTTCCGCAAGTGAGTCCACGGCTCCATAGCGCGATACTTCACGGTTAGGAAGCGTAAGAAGCACACACGGAGAGCATGGGAAAGGCAGATGGTAGCTGCTGTGAATTTCACCTATCGTGATATCAGTCGCCGTAGTAAGCTTCCCTCGCTTCCCCGTCATCCTTTTTCTCAGGCGAATCTTACTTACTTGTATAGACTTTCTTCCATCCGTGTCTATCCAGGGCCCTCCTGGACCGTTTGATCTATTCAGTGGACCGCCAGGATACCGTCCACCGGCTGGCGGAGCAGGGATGCAGCAGCAGCAGCAGCAGCAGCAGCAGCCGGGATTTGGCTTCGGTCCGCCGCAGGGGCCTCCCGGCGGAATCGGCGGAGGTGGCGGATTTGGATTCGGGGGTCCTGCGCCCGGCGGAGGACCCATGGGTCCGCCGGGAATGATGGGAGGTCCGGGGACAGGAGGAGCGGATGGGGGTCATAATCCGCTAAACGACATGCTCGCGGGGGCTGGGTCAGGGTTCATTCGGTCGGGCCTGGGTGCTTATGGCGAGCGGCTACTAGGGAGCAGTCGCGCCTACGTTCAAAACAACGTGAGCGGCTCGTTACGATTGGGGAGGCCACGCATGCGCAGTCACAGGCGGCTGACGTAGCTGGTTGTGTGCGTCTGTGCCTCTGTGTGCCTCTGCGTCTCTGTCTCTGTTCTTCCACGCTGATGGCAATTCGCTTCCTCAAGAGGCAGGAGGATGTGAGCGTAGTGCCTTTCCATCTCTTTTCCTTCGCTTTTCCATCTTACCCCAATTCTTCCCTATCTGTTCCTTATATTTTCCGTATATATTCCCCATCTCTTCCCCATCACTTCTGCACCACCACATTGCCCTCATTCTCAACATCATGTTGGTGTGTGTGCAGGTGGGCAAGTACTTTGCATCCACGGACTTCCACTACTACTTCCATGTCAACGATGCCTATGTGCGCAACAAACTCAAAATCATCGTCTTCCCGTTCTTACACAAGGTATGGTGGATTTTCTTCCTTGGTGAACTTAAAATTCAGCGAGCAGAATGAGTTGAAAAGTACGGAAGTTTTTACTCTCAGTCTGCAGTCGAGTATCTTTAATCTCTCCTCCCAGTCCTCATCAAATTCCACCCCAGTTTTGACCCATCCCCTCGACATGACCTGTCCGTGTACGTCCAATCTCTGACGTTTTTGCCTTATCAAGCCAATTGAGCCTCTTAGTCAGCACGTCCTACTCACATCCATGGCAGGGCCACTGGACGAGAGTGGCGGAGCAGGTGGCCGGGGGGCTGACGTACAAGCCGCCATGCAATGACATCAACGCCCCGGACCTCTACATCCCTTTCATGGCCTTCGCCACCTATGTGGTGCTCGCCGGACTCTCCGCTGGCCTGCTCGGCAGGTAGGGCGTGGTGAGGTGTTGGATCTGAGGGGTGAGATGTTGGGAGTTGAGGGCTGACGTACAAGCCGCCATGCAATGACATCAACGCCCCAGACCTCTACATCCCTGCCATGGCCTTCGCCACCTATGTGGTGCTCCGCTGGTTTGTTGGGCAGGTAGGGCGTGAATGAGGGGAGGGGTGTTGGAATTGAGTGAGACGTTGAAATTGAGGGGTGAGATGCTGGAGTTGTGGGGTGAGGTGTTGGAGTTGAGGGGTGAGATGTTTTAGTTGGGGAAGGAGGTGTTAGGGGTAATATGTTGGAGTTGAGGGGTGAGTGGTCGGTGGCTGTTAGCGAGGCTGGAGTGGGAGGCTGGAAGCATTGGAGCATTGCCTGTCGTTACTGGGAATGCATCTCATATCTTGTTTTATTTGCTTCTTATTCGTGGCATACAGGTTTGCTCCGGCATTTGTGAATGCGCGTGTTGGCAAAGGATTAATCGGGTGGTTTTTGGAGGTGCTGCTTCTTCGGACGATGCTCTACTCGTTGGCATCAGGCGATGCTCCGCTGCTCGACCTCGTGGCATACGCTGGCTACATGTTTGTTGGGATCTCCCTGACAAGCCTTTCTTGGGTCGTCTGGCGAATGGCCTACTTTCCTGTTTTGATTTGGACAAGGTGAGTGGTTGAGGGCAAGCTGGTTTATTAGAGAAAGGTAGTACGGTATTGGTAGTATTTCTGGTCACACAAGGGTGGTTCTGTTTTTTACCCGCTTCAGGTGAATCTTACATGAGTTAGTTGTTGGCTTCAGAAGGTGCATGATGACGATATTGTGCTGTTTTCTTTGGTTTGCTTTTTCTGCTGCAGCTTGTGCATGGCAATGTTTCTGGTGAAGACAATGAAGCGGGTGATGTTCGCTGAGACCCGGCACTACGACCGTGACTCGTCGCGGCACCGATACATGCTCCTCGCCATGGGTGCTGCACAATTTCCTCTGGCATTGTGGCTTGGCAAGCTGTAGACCACCTGAATAAATAATTGGGTAGGTTCATAAAGAGCACACTTAATGAGTTCTTATAGGTTATTTGTCTTGTGTGTTCAAAGGCGATATATATCTGACTGTATACTAAGTTAGCTTGCATCTGTGAGTTGTGCAGAACACACCCCAAGCGCGGTTGTGTTATTGTGACCCTTGGATTAATCGAACGGCTTAGATGACGCCTACTTTTCCCGCTTTGATAGTGGCTGTTGGTTGTCACCGTCAGTGTACACATCCAATCAAGTTCACGAGGACTGAAGTTTCCCATGGTCGTCCTCATGCTACGAGTCTGAAGCTTCAACGTCTGTTCTCCATTTCCGAGTTCACATTCCCCTTCTCACGCCCTTTTGAAACTTCGAAATCTCGTTCTCGACATCCTCCGTCTCATTCCACTGGCGTGTGGTTGCTCCGAGTTTGTCAATTCACGGATCGGCTTGTTCTCGATCGTTTCTTAGGCTGGCAAACATGGCTGACGACGAGGATGAGCAGCTGCAACGGGCCTTCCGCATGAGCTTAACGAGTCCTCCCCCAGCAAACGCATCTTCGCGAAACCCTCACAGCAGCAGCAGCGGTATCAATTCCCAGTCCACCGGCGGACTGAATGCCAGTCCTGACCCTTGTCCCCCATCCGCCAAGCGGAGCAAATCCGAGGATGAAGGATCGGATCCCGGACAAGCAGGAGGAGGTGGAGGTGGCTATAGCGGGGGTTCTTATAGCGGTCGCGTAGCAGCGAGACCCGAGACGGCGGAGGAGCGGGAGAGGCGGATACAGCGAGAGATTCGAGCAGCAGCCGCGGAACGAAGAATGGCTGCTTTAGGAAAGCCCAGTGCAGAATCGGCCAAGATTGGATCAGCCAATACCGGATCAGCCGTCGCGTCCTCCGGAGCTCCAGCTCTTACCGCGTCGAGCCGTCCTCAGAGCACTTCTGTCAGGCCCGATCCACGTGTAGATAAGGCTCCCACGAGCGCTTCTGCTCCTGCCAATCCCATTCCGCCACGTGTTCATGACATTGACATGGCGGATCAGGCAAGTGATTCGCCGGCAGAGCAGACTGGCGGAAAATCGTCAGTAGAATGCAAGGTAGGAGTCGTAAGGGTTCCGGGAACAGGAGACGCGAGTTTAGGAGGGAAAATCACAGAGGGGAGCGCAACTGAAGCTGGGGGATCGCAAACAAATTTGGCTGTGCCTGAGGGGCCTGGCATTGGGGGGTCAGGGAGTGCTCGTACGGCAGGCGGTGGGGAGGTTGTGGTGGGTGGAGAGGGGTGGAAGGAGGCGGAGAAGCGGTGGGAGAGCGAGCAGGGGTTGGCGGAGTTGCCATTGGACGAGGCGTTTCTGCTGTTCGACATGGTGTTCGGGCGGAACCCGCCTGCTGCTACCCTCTCCCAGTGGTCGCGACAGGGATTCAGGTAGTTCATCGCAGTTTAAGTATAGTTCCGGTTTACTTCTCCGTTGACCTACATATACATGCATCGTTCCTCTCAGTCCCTCGGTATCCACCTTCCGTATCCCCTCTCACTCACTTTCTACCCCTCTCTCTCTTTCTACCTGTCTCAGATTCAGCGACGACCCGGCGACTTCGCTAGGGCTGGTGCAGAGGGAGGGGGGGGCGTGCGGGGTGCTGGCGCCAGTGCAGGCGCTGCTGCTCAAATACCTCCTCTTCCCCCCCGCGCCTGCGCACCTTGCGGATGCCTCCCCGCCTTCCGCACCTGCCGCACTTGCCGCTACTGCTGGTGCTGGGGAGAGGAGCGCTGGGCAGCAGGGGGAGCAGAGGGGGGAGGGGAGGAAGGAGAAAGTGGGAGGGTGGGAAGGGGATGATATGAGGTTTTATGACTCGATGCCAGGCCTGGATGTGCAAGGTAGAGTCCACCCTACAGTTTCTGCTTCTGCTGCTGGTGCTAGTGGTGGTGCTCCTGGTGCTGCTGGTGCTAGTGGTGGTGCTGGTGGTGGTCTGACAGCCGCTATCACTGGCGCTGCCTCTGGTGCGGCAGCTGTAGCAGGAGAGGGGGAGGGGTCAGGCGACTCTGCTGCGCTGCCAGCCTTGGAAGCCGTACGGGATGAAGAGGGGGAGGGGGGAGAAGAAGGCGAGGGAGGGGAAGCCCCTCTGATCTTCTCGCAGGTTGAGAGACGAAGGTAAGTGGCCGCCGCCCATCACGCATTTTTCCACTTTTTTTCTTGCCTGACCAGCCATGACATCTCCTGATATTCCGTACCTCCCTCTTAGACTGAGCTCCCCTTCCGTTTCCTCCCTATTAGACTGAGCTCCCCTCCCCCTTCCTCCCCACTCTCCCCACCTTCTCCTCCTCTGCAGGGCACTGGTGTTGGCAATGGCAGAGTCCTTATGGGTGCCAAGCAGAGGGCAGAGAGTTGTCATTGCTGCCGTATCAGCACACAGGCTGGCCGCGTTGGCATCACAAGCTGCTTTGGCATCACCAATCAGCGACGCGACAGCGCTTCAAGGAGCAGTCAGAGTGCGACACCTGGCGGGGGCGTCGCATGCTGACGTGGCGAAGGCGCTGCACCGGCTGTTTCCGGTGTTTGAGAGTGATTTTGGCGCGCTGCTGCTGCTCTTCTCTGTGCTGCTCTCGAGGGGACTTGTGAGTCAATCCACCCATTTTTTAGTCGACTCAAATCAACAGCCACCTCCGGTGTTTGAGAGTGGCATTGGTGCGCTGCTGCTGCTCTTCTCAGTGCTGCTCTTCTCAGTGCTGCTCTCGAGGGGACTCGTGAGTCGTTGCACCCGTTCTTCAAGGGGATTAGCATAAATAATATCAACAGTCAGGTTTTCAGTAGGCTGATCTTTGCTCATAAATTTCTACCTCCTGTTTACACTGCCCCTCTTCCACAAATTTGGGATATGCACGTGTTTCCTATCTGCTTTCACCCTCTGGGCTGTCTCCCCTCACAGGAGCGTGTTCAAGAGGACAGGGACGACCCAGAGCCACCGCTTGTAACACCCCCATTCGGCCACGCCTCGCAGGTTCGTGCCATCGTGCCATGGCCGTCCCGAGAAACTTGTTTTCTTTGCTCAGTCATTAGCGCTTCCACCTTCACCTCTGGTTTTCCTCCATTTCTCCTGCTCGCCCCTTTCTCTCCTTTCCTCCCCCGCTCCCTCCCGTCAATTTGGTCCGCACTTTCCGGAATTTCACGCCAACTCTCGCATTCCCATCGGCAATCTGCTTCAAGCCATCCCCCCCTTCGCCCTCATCCCCATCACTGGCGCTTCTCCCCACCACCCCTGCCTGAACCCCTCCTGGAGATTGTGAACCTGCTGCTGTGCGGTGAGGCAGTGGCGAATGTGTTTGATGGTACCATGGACTTGGGAGGAGGCATGGCGCTCAAAGGCATTCCCTCGGAGGCCCAGGTGGGCTTCCTCACGCTCCTCGTCCCCATCACTAATGCTTCTCCCGCTCTTCCCACCCAAAACCCTCCAGGAGATTGTGAACCTACTGCTATGTGGCGAGGCCGTGGCGAACGTATTTGATGGTACCATGGACTTGGGAGGGGGCATGGCGCTCAAAGGTATTCCCTCAGAGGCCCAGGTGGGCTTCCTCACGCTCCTCGAGTCCCTCAACCTCTGCAAGGTCGGGCAGCGTTTGAAACATCCCAAGCTGCCCATCTGGGTGGTGGGCAGCGAATCGCACTACACCGTGCTCTTTGCGCTTTCGACTGAAGTACAGGAGGAGAATGATGCGGAAGCAGAGGAGTCGCGGGTCAGAGAGGTGTTCGACCGGTTTGATACAAGTGGAGGAGGGGGGTTTGTTGCTGTTGAGTCTCTTCTACCTATGCTGGCTGAGTTAAGGGTAAATTTCCCTTCGGACACAATTGACTCGCTTTCGGCGCTGGGGGTAATTGTGTGGAACGAGCTGTGGCAGGCCCTGCTGAAGCTGGACCGATCCCAGGGGGGGTTCAAGAGAGAGGGGTCGAGTGGGAGCCGACCTGCCAGCAGGAAGTTTGACTTGTATCACTTCAATGGGATTGCAAAGCGTGTGCAGACAGGAAGCAGCAATGCAGCCGCAGCGGCAGCAGCAGCAGGTTCTGAGGGAAATGGAGCAGGGGTCACATCGTATGGCGGAATGGATGTGCCGCAGCGTGTGCTATCACCGCCGTTGACTGCGATGGATCAACGGCCGAGATTGGTCCGGCTTCATGTGACCGTGCCACCGAAATGGTCGCCGGAAGATCTGATGATGATACCTAGGCCGGAGGGCAGTGGGATGGATGGAATTCCTCCTGAGGTGGTGGCAGACTCGTTTGACTCTAGTGTGAATCCGATGCAGCGCACTTCGCGTGAAGCTCCCCTTGTCGATTGTATTCGCACTCGGTGGCAGCGAGCGTCGTGCACGTGGGTAGGGGATGCGCCATCTATCGTGTAGTGTGGTTACTAGGTTGTTAGTACCGTATTGTATTGCGAGTCATGTTATGCTGGAGTATTATTGTAGGTGTTTGGCTTGGCGGCGGCCGTCCAATTTGTGCATTGTTGTGTTTGAGCCACCTCTCTTGTGGGACCAGTACGATTCTCGTTTTCAGTCGTAAGTGTGAACTATGGGGTGAAACATGGCGGCAAGCGCCTTCCTTTGTCAGAAGTATCCTCCTTTGTCAGAAGTATCTCATTACCTACTCCATCTCAACCTTCAGTCCTAAACCTGCTCACGATCCTAGTTCAGCAAAGTGCAGGCCGACATCCTTGACGTTTGTCGTTGTAAGGAAAATTCATTTTCCTTACTTCGCGCCCCTGCTTACCGCGTACAAGACCATTCCCGCCATCGGCACCCAAACAGTGAAACGTTACCCGCTCGCGACACTCGCCTCGACTACGACTCCCGCCACTGTTCACGACGCGATCCAACCTCACAATTCGGTTGGTAACCCGCGCTCTGGACCTCCGCCTCGACATATCCCAACCTCGGCGCTAGGCCCGTAGCGCACCCATGTTCCTCGCGTTACCGTTACCACTCTAGTTCGGTATATATTCTTCGCGCATGCCTTCGCTCATTGTATTGTTTGCTTCGATTGTGCAATTCTCGCCCGCTCGCTCAATTGCACGCGTAACACTTGGTATTCAGAGCCTACGATCTCCTCTCGGACCGCACCCACACCTTCGCTTCCCCACTATATCATTTTTGGGGGGGGGGGGGGTAGACGTCTCTCAGCGAACAAGCACCGCCGCTCGAAGTGCTCTCTCGTAAGCACGCACGGCCACGACAGAGGCTCTCGTTGAGCTTGCCCGACACCCCCGCCATGGCCGAAATTAATCTCGCGACACTGACGCAGGAGCAGCTCGACTGTCTCGTGCGCCAACTCGAAGATTCGGCGCTCGAAATTGCGACACTCACGGCGGAATGCGACTCCGCTCGCCAGCAATCGACGGTGAATGCACCAGCACCAACACATGCACCTGCACAATTGGAGGAGCCGATCGTCATCTCATCAAGCACACCGACACAGAACGACAGCGTGGGACAACGCTCAGGCGTAGCCAGTGATGGCGCCGCTCACTCAATGCCTGGCATGGAGAGGAACAGGGCCGCAACAGGCACACAAGGGCCTCGCGAAGTCCGCCGGCACGTGGAGTTTGCCGCAACGAGTGGCAACAACAACATCATGGCGCCGATGCCACTCAAGCCACAGCGCCCGCCCTGCTTCGATCATAACCAACGTGGAGGTCTGGCAGTTCAATCGTGGGTTTTCACGATGAACGTTTTCTTCGACGCGAATTACGTCGAGTTGGACGCAGCGAAGATTCGCTACGCAGTTTCGCTGCTGAGGGGCCCCGCCATGGAGTCGTGGCGAGTCATCGTGACGTCGCCACGCGCCTACGAGCCGCCGTCGCAAGAGGGAGGGCCCTCGGGTCCAGCCGTCACCTTGAGTTCCTTCTGCGAAACTGCCCAGTACAGCACGTGAGATGCGTGGTGCGCAGGGCTTCGGGCGCGCTTCGAGCCGATTGCGGCTTCTATTCCAGCGCATCAAAGACTGCGTACTTGGCGACAACTCGGGTCGGCCCAAGACTACACGAGCGGTTTTCTCGCATATGCGAGCAATTCGGCTACATGCACGAAGCGGAGCGGGTGGACCGTTACGGCGGAGGGCTGAAGCCGGACATCTCGCACGAAATCATGCTAAGCGGGCTCTCGAACTTCAACGAGATCCTCGCGCTCGCCGAGAAGATCGATATCCTACGCCGACCGAGACCTGGGTTCTACTACGGACAACGTTCTCGGGGACCGGCCGAGCACGCCACTGTACACGCCGTTGCAGCGAATGCAACTGTCGAGCCATTTAAGGGGCGCTGCTTTGCTCGTAACAGGCCAGGCCATCGCAAGAGCGAATGCCCAGAGGAGCTGAGGCGCCGCGGAGCAGAGCAGGGGACGGAATCTCAGAGGCAGGGAAACGCCAGCAGTCAGTATAAATCGGGCCAACTACTGACGAGACAACCTGCTCGTCCAACCTCACCGACCCTCACTGAATCACTGTACCAATTCACGCTATCGATCGGGCTCGGATGAATAAGGAGGGTACATCGTCGGATTGCCCAGTACTGATTCACAGGAAAATCCAGGGAGCACCAGTGAAGATTTTTATAGACGGAGGAGCAAGTCACAGCTTAGTTAATACCGCAACCGCACGGAAGCTGCAACTGACACTTAGTCGGTGTTTATCAGAGATAGATGCACGCTTAGTCGATAGCACGCCGCTGGCCATACGAGAAAAGGTGGAGAGAGTAAAAGTCCGCTGCGGGAGAAACTTCGGGTTTACACAGGAAATGCTCGCGACGACACTAGATGGGCACGACATTTTACTGGGACGTGATTGGCTGCGACGCTACAATCCGTGAATCGACTGGACGATGGGTAGCTGCACTGTACGAAGGAGCGGTAACTGGGTCGAGCTACCTCGCTGGCAGTCGCCCGCATCTTCAACGGTCCACGTCAACGCCATCACAATGAAACGGGCTGTCGCCGCTGGAGCCGACGTGTACGCAGTAGATATCGCATTGGTAGGAGAAGCAGAGCAGCCGAGTGATTTTCCGAAACTGCTGGCAGCGGTACCACCCAAACTACAGGAACTGTTGAAACGGTACCCGGGGATTTTTCTGGACGATTTACCAGAGGGACTGCCACCTCAGCGAGCGCATGATCACCTAATAGAATTAGAACCGGGGGAACAACCAACTGTACAGCGGCAGTTTTGACTGACACAGCCCGAGCTTGATGAACTGAGGAAGCAACTAGAGTACCTATTAGCGAAGAAATTCATCTGACCGAGTTCATCGCCGTTCGCCGCACCGATACTATTCACACCGAAAAATGGGGTTTCGTATGTGTATCGATTACAGAGCACTGAACAGGGTAACAGTCAAGTCGAGATACCCTATTCCCCGCGCCGACGAACTGATAGATCAACTGCGAACAACACGGGTCTTTTCGAAAATAGATTTACAAGGAGGTTACCACCAGATTCGGGTCGAACCATCGGACTGCGGCAAGACGACATTTAGAACTAGGTAAAGGTCATTCGAGTACACCGTGATGCCATTCGGGCTGACCAACGCAACGGCGACATTTCAGATGACCATGAACGAGGCATTTAGGCCGCTCTTAGATAAATGCGTGATAATTTACCTCGACGACATCCTATTCTACAGTCGTGATAAGCAACAGCACTTAGCAGATCTGGAAGCAGTGTTTAAAGTTTTAGACGAGCATAGACTTTTGACCAAGGGTTCCAAGTGCGAGTTCTTCCACGATAGGTTAGAATTTTTGGGGCACGATATTTCGGAGGCTGGAGTTGAGATCGAACCAAAGAAGCTGGACACGGTGAAAGCGTGGCACCCCCCGACGAACATCACGGAGCTGCAGAGTTTTCTAGGGTTCGTTAATTATGTGCGTCGGTTCGTCCCTGACATGGCACGCTTAACTGCCCTGCTGACGGATTTACTGCGGAAGTTTGTCGCTTTTACGTGGGGGCAGAAAGAGCATGCTGCCTTCTCTGCCCTGAAAAATGTTCTCTGTTCACCACCTGTACTGCGCATCGCCGACCCACACCGCCCATTCGAAGTGGTTACAGACGCAAGCGACATCGCCATTGGAGCCGTACTGCTACAGGATTTTGGAAACGGTTTACAGCCCATCGCATACGAGTCACGAAAACTGCCTCCGCCAGAGAAGAATTACCCAATACACGACCGCAAAATGCTCGCGATCGTGCATGCGTTCAAATTGTGGCGCTGTTACTTGACCGGCGCAGACGTGACAGTACGCACAGACCACAAATAACTACAGTACCTATGCGCACAACCCCACCTCAACTTACGACAGATCCGCTGGCTCGATTTCCTCGAGTCAAATTTCCACTACACCGTCACATACAAAAAGGGGGCATCGAATATTGCCGACGCACTGACCCGCCCCACTGCCCAAATCCACGCCATACTACTCACCCAGACCAGCCCGCTACTAACAGGACTATTTACCCACGACTATCAAACCGACCCGTTCTTCACAGGTGGAAATTCGCAGTAGTTCGCAGCAGCAAAGGGGGTTTATTACATAAAAGCCGGCACCGACCGCATCTGGGTACTAGGCTAAACTTTACTAAGAGAGCTATTACTACAGAAGGAAATTGTCAGAATACTGAATGAGAATGAATGCATTGAACAGAAAGTTGGTACAAGTACTAACCCTAATTGGGTTGTACCCCTTATGGGCTACCCCACTACAGCCTACACAATATAGGCATGATAACATTTTGACATATCCCCATAGGCAAAGTGGGGAAGAACAAGTGGTCACAAGACCAGTTAAGAAAAGCAAAGCAAGCTCAGGGTGGATCACGAAGAAACCACACATTCCGAGCACAAGCAAAGGGCCACAAGGCCAGTTCACATGCAGAGTGATATAAAAGAGAACAAACAGTACATTGATCTTAACCTAGCAAGTATAAGCATGCAGATACATATATATATATCACAGTACAAGCAAAGTCACGCAGTGAGCAAGTGAGGAAAAGTAGGCACAAGGCCTAAAACAGTACAGAAACGCTGATGATCACCAGACTAAAGTGCCTTGGTGAATATATCAGCAGTGTTGGCCCGAGTGGCCATGTAAGCAAGATGAAGCTGACCACGCTGCCGCAACTCTCGAACAAGGAAGTAACGCAAAGCGATGTGCTTCGTTCTGTGCTCCAGTCTTTGCTCCTGACACAAGGCAATCATGGCCTTGTTGTCTACGCACAGAAATGGAGAAGAACGAGGCCGCTCTCCCAAGTCGGTCAGCAGGTAGGTGAGCCAGCGTAACTCCAGTGCAGCCATGGCCCCTGCGTAGATCTCAACCTCACAACTGGAACTGAGAACAGAAGACGAGCGGGTAGACCGCCA